CTGTAACCTACACTTTTATGTCCCTGCAGCTTAAAGCTTGAAGAGTAGGGTTTGTAAGTCAAAGAAAAACAGAAGAGAGTGTTTAATGATGAAGAAAAGAAGAACTGATATTGAGTTGATCGACTTTGTATTTTATTCTGCGATGTAGTGACTTTATCTGCATTAAATAGACGATACTGCCCAGAAACCGTGAATAAGTCAGACAGAATTAAACCTGTTTCTGTCATTGTGCACAAGTTTATGGGGCAGCAGTAGCTCAACAGGTTGAGCGGGTTGTCCAGTAATTGGAAGGTTGCAGGTTTGATCTCGACTCCGGACAGAGAATTCTGCTGTTGTGTCCTTGGGCAAGACACTTAACCCACCTTGCCTGCTGGTGGTGGTCGGAGGGACCGGTGGCGCCTGTGCTCGGCAGCCTCGCCTCTGTCAGTGTGCCCCAGGGCAGCTGTGGCTACATCGTAGCTCATCCCCACCAGTGTGTGAATGTGTGTGTGAATGGATGAATGATACACTGTAGTGTAAAGTGCTTTGGAGTCCTTACTCTGAGAGGCACTATACAAGTGCGGGTCATTTATCATTTGCTCCCTCTCAGTGTACAAATGACATCTCTCCATGTATATTTTCACTCGAGAGGTTCTAACTTCCACGCGCGAGTCCCGTTTTTACGCGCAATGTGGACCCGTGCACGCATATTCCGCGCCCACGGGTTTTGGCACCCATCTGACGCCATACATCACTGATGCCTCCAGTGTGGACCCGAGGTAATACTCTGACAGAGGGGTGACTTACTCTTTATTAATATGGAAGAGGCGGAACTTTCAACATATACAGCAACCAGCCACTAGGGGGATCTACATCTCATTGAGAATAAGTTGTGTTTACAATCACCTGATTTGCAAATGTATCCAATGCATTAAAAAAATACTGTAAATTTGCCACAAAGCTGAACTGGCATCTGTGTGCCTTAGGTCATTTATAAGTAGTTTGACTGTACCATGTCTGTAATGCGGCGCAAACGTGTCCTTTTCACAAAAGAAGACACGTAATCTGCATTCACAAGTCACTAAGCATGATGACACAAATGCCACAAAATTCCGGCATCACCATGCCTCCACAGCCCTTTAGTACACAGTGTATCATGCCGATTGACTCCCCCCCCCTCTCTCTCTCTCTCTCTCTCTCTCTCTCTCTCTCTCTCTCTCTCTCTCTCTCACAAAAACACACACGATGCATAGACAAGGAAGTTTTATTTAATTTCCTGCTGTCATATCTTTGTGTGTACAAATTGTATTCTCATACATCTTTTCAATAACCCATGATGCATTGCATCCATACCTTTGTAGCTCAAAACAGCTTTTACAAAAAAGGATATACAATATATACTTATATTTATATATATATATATAATATACATGTTTTTCTTTATGCATTTAGATGTGTTTTAATAGGTCATAGAAGCTTTAAAAAACACACACAGCCAAGGGGAAAGAAATATCAGGAAAGGTTTGAAAAAAAAAGTCATTAGCAAACATAAGATAGCCAAGTTTATCAAAGTCATCAACGCTGGCCATCGTTACACTTAACATGAAGCCCTTCGAACACAGTTTGCATATATGCCACAATTACAGTCATGTAAATCCAGAGTGATTGCCTTCTTTTACTGTACTACGGAGCTGCAAGAAACAATAAGCTCCAGGTGGAGCTAAACACTACAAAAAAGGAAGGGAGGGAAGGATGGTTGATGGAATAATTTAGTTTTTTTGTCTAAATATTCAAAATAATGCAACACATCCTGGTGTACTTTACTTATGTTGTATGGCAACATTTTATTAATTAGAGGAGTTTTAGCCTAGTAACATTCTGAGAAATAAACCTTCTGCTTAATCATGGTAAAATACAGCCTATCCAACTTTGAGCATGGCTTGCATCTTTTTTTCCAAATGTAGAGAGCATCCTCAGCAGATTTGCAGACGTTATTTAAGGTGGCAATAAAACAGGATATAAACCAGCATAGTACAGGAGAAAATGCCACTCAGAAAGAGACGTGACTGTCATAGTTGATGCAAAATGATAAGTTCACTGTGCTGTGTTGTATTTTAACAACATGACTTCTGGTGTTCATCACTTCACATTATATAGCTCAAAATTACATCTTGTTTTTTTTTTTTTTTTGCTTTTTGCTTTTTTTCAATACAACACAGTAAGAATAATCTTGTGTTTATAATAATTGATCATCATCATTCATGTAAACATATTTAACCAGGTCATGCAAACAGTAGACCAAAACGTTTTCCACTAGAGGTGCACGGCACAGAGCAGGCGGAGCGCCCAGACTGAGATCCCTCCGGCTCACCCCGAGCCGGACCCAAGCTGAACAACAGACCCACAGCTTGCCTGCATTCCCTTCTCAGAATGAGAGAGGAATGGTGTGTGTGTGTGTGTGTGTGTGTGTGTGTGTGTGTGTGTGTGTGTGTGTGGTGTGTGTGTGTGTGTGTGTGTGTGTGTGTGTGTGTGTGTGTGTGTGTGTGTGTGTGTGTGTGTGTGTGTGTAACGGTTAAAAAGCCAACCCTTGTAGCAGGATGAGGACTTCTGGGAATCTCAGTCTGAGCCTCTGATAACAGAACAGCCATAAAACAAACAAAACAAAAAAGTCTCCTTTTGATATTCGTACATTTCAGTGTTTTTCGTATTTTTTCTGTTTGTTTTTTTGAAATCCCTGACAGGAAGCATGCAGACACTTCAGGTCAAATCCACCGATCATGAACCCAGTCTGAGCCAGAACAGAGAGTCCAAAACTCGCCAAGAATCACCTTCCACCTTCAAATGTACCCTTTTCTCAAAGCTTTTCAATAAAAAGATGAATAACTAAAAAAACTTTAAAGAAAAAAGGCTGATTAGATGTATACATGAGTTGGATGCAGGAGGAGGAAGTTATTTAAAAACAGTTTGAGAAATACATGAAAATGTCCATCTGGCTTTTCTGTTTCTTATTTCAAACATAAAGTTAAGTACTTACAATAAGCCATGTAGAAATGTTCCTAATAATCATTTAACAACATATTTTAGTTTCTTTGTCAAACATCTTCCTAATTTTTGGCCCCAAGAATAACCAGAAGACATCACAATTGGAGTTAAATGGTACTCAACTGGACTTAATTTGGCTGGATGGACTTTAAATATGCATGAATGGTTTTGAAGTGAGAGATTGTGATTCAGCATGAAGCACTGTTACTGTGTCTTATGATGTACATGGTGTGCAAGCGACCACGTTTTCCAGGAGAGATGTTGAGACAGACATGAGACATATTACTCAGGTACATTAGCCTTTAGGCCATTCCAATACTTCTCAAGGGATTTTTGAAAAACTGTTTATTTTTGTGTGTGTGTTTTCACACCTGTCCACACAGAAAATACACATTTTTGGTAAACCTGTGAGATATGGAACCTTTCATAAACAATGACATGGCAGCCTACTTTACACAAGCTTATTTGACTTGATGCACTTTCATGAAAACAATAAAGGAGCTATTCTATCCTGTTTTTCTACAGCTTGTTCCTGTTTTTACAACTCATTGACTGTTTGTGAAGTAGATAATATATAAGAAGATATTGCAAAATAAAGAAAAACATTGTGGTGACTCTTAAGCTAAGCTAAAAATCTTCTTCTGTAAATAAACCTGGGTGGGAGTGTGTCCACTACTTCCCCCCAGTAGTGTGGTGAGGGTGGTGCAGCATCTTTAACTTCTGTGTGGTTATTTTTAATTGCAGGAAACAGATTAGAAGGAATCAAGTTATAGTAATTACAGTAATTGCATCACTCGTTGCCAGTTTACCATTTTCACAGTGGCTAAAAATTACAGCAGCATTCTCAGTATTACCTATTTCTACAGAAGTATAATGTTGTTAGGAAAAGTGCAAGAACAAAATTAAAAGAGCAGTGTGTCATAATATCAAGAATATTTATCATCATTACAAAATAGTTTTTAGATCTTGCAAAAATCTCTGAAGGGCGTGGAACTCTTGTGTAATCAATACATTTGCAGTGGTTTCTAGATTTGAACATCTCACCTCTGATTGGCTAACAATATGACTCTACCACCGACTCTGTTTGCTCTGCATTGTTGGTGTTTTATCTTGACATATAACACAAGCCTGGAGGAGTTCTGTTGTGTGGTGGAGTTGCTAATGCTAACCGTTAGCTTCTACTAGTCAACACGTTTTCTATTGTTTACTGGATGCTAAACCAACAACAGCCTTCCCCGTCGTGGGTCAAGGTTGTTGACTCCATGATGCAGGGGTTAATTTGAGCTGGATCTTGCCTCAAGCGACAAACTTGTGCTATACGCAGGATTCAAATTACGGGTGAGCTAGGGAGCTCCTGGAAGCCCTCAGCTTACACACCCAGGGGGAGCCCGAAAACGATCCTGGTTCTACTGATATTACATTATCTATGTGGATTCTATGTGTTATCTATGTGTTCTGGGGCATTTGTTTTGCCTTTAGTGAACTTTGGTTTGACATCAGTATTTTCGTTCCGGGAACGTTTGATTTAAAAATTAAACACTGCATGAATGTTAAGTGACAGTGTAGAAGACTTTTCATATTCAGCCTGCAAGAAAAACTCTGAGTGATCGATTATAATCTGAAATATTTGTAAAAAAGTTTTTTTCAGTGATCCACACCTTTAATGGTAAAATGCCATTGACTGTAAATATAATGGTTGGTTCCCATCACCTCCATCTTGGCCATGTTACATCTTTTTACTCCTGGAAAATACATAAACTGAGCCGAGAGTGGGACTGTGGAGGCAGATGGTTGACACCCAATAAACTTGGTTCAGATGTAGCTACAAGCTAACTGAGATAACTACTGTCTCTGCAACCATCTGTAAAACATTCAATGTGAGGCAGAGGCTGAAGTCTTCTTTGGAGCAAGCAGGAGAGCAAGGCTAGTTTTGACAGCTTATTTGCTGCATGTCAGTTAAAAGGACACACCCGTAATGATTCATAATTTCAAGCTTTAATTACATCTAAACAAATGAGTTACGAAAATAAATTATCACCTTAAGAGATCTCATGACTGTAAACTTGACCTAATAAATCTCAAGTGTTTTTTTTAACCAGGTTGTAAACATGTTTGTTTTCTGATGTGAAGTTGGCATTTTTCCATAGAAGTCAATGGGAATTTACTCCTTTTGGGAGCCTGCACCTAGTGGAAAAGGGGCAAACTGCAATTTGAAAGAGTTAGCAAGTGTAATTTGTTGAGTTAATATTCACCTATTTGTTAGAGGGGGTCTCCATTTTTGTTGCGGTGCTGCGGCGACTGGAATTCTTAAAATATTAACTTCAAGAACTGGAATAGCTGTCTGGTTGAATCAGAGTAGAACACCACAACATAGAGTACATCGCCATTTTGCTGTTGCAATCTTTTTTTGCCATTACCAAGATCTCCATTGGGCAGTCGTCATCTGTTGCCATTTGTAAAAAGCTACTAAAGACTTATTTATACTCGACAGCTTTTAGTACTCCTAGTTGACTTGGTATTCCTGCTTTTCACAATTTCTTATGTCTGATTTTTAATGTATTGTTTTTTGTGTAAAACTATTTTTTAATTGACTGCTTTTATTTAGCTGTTTTTATATGTCTGTGCTCAGCATGTTGGGCAACATTGTTGCATTTAAAGTGCTATACAAATAAATTTGATTTGAAGATATTTTGAACATGTTTTTAAGAGAAACTTTTATTTTTAAATCAGTTGTACACGTCATTACTACAAAGTCCCTCTTTAAAACAAGATATATGATATAATGAGAAACTTTTATAATAATGTATTTTCTGCATTTTCAACTCACATTCATGGAAATATGTATGTATTTATGTATGTATGTATGTATGTATGTATGTATGTATGTATGTATGTATGTATGTATAGGTGTGTATGGGCAATTATCTGGCAATACGATTTATATCACAATACAGGGGAGATGATACAATATATTGCGATACTTAAAGCTGGACAATATTGGCAATTTGTAAGATTGAATTGAGTTGGAGATCTCAGGCCAGACACTTCCTAAACACATACGGGCTCGTTGTTCAGTCAGAATGAAGACCGTTAAAACTGCTGCCACCTAGCAGTTGGAGTTGGAATTGCACCACATAATAGAAATACAGTAAATTTTTGCAGGTAAATTCTCAATAAAAATAATTGACACGATGCTTTTAAATATTAATTCAGTAACATAACAAAACATCATACTAGTTCAGTGTACCGCTATTTTCTTACATCCCTAGCACTGTATGTAGCAAAACTAAATAACACTACAAGAATTCTCTGCCTAAATAGGTGCAACATGATTAACGGTAAATAACTGAATCAATGACCGTCCAACAAGTTTTATTTCTGAAACATAGGCTAATAAGAGTTTTAGACTGCTACTTTTAACTTCCTGTAGTGTTTAGCTGTGACACAATGCTAACACTAGCTTTGACGTAAACAACCACGTGAAGAATCTGTCTCTTTTTTCTTACTTTTATTTTTGTCCTCCTCATAACAGAGCCACAGTTAACAATTATCTGATGATATTTTTCGCAGCTGCGTGTTTGACATGATTGTTGATAGACCTGCTGTATCCTCTAGCCACCACAAGGGGGACATGCTTTGAATGCAACAAGACCAGTGTAGAGCATCTGGTTCAGAGGGACACATGGTAACTGTATTTAGAGGTAGATGTGACTCATAATAGGGTGACAATTACAATGGAGGAGACAACTTTCATCAAAACAGCCTCTGAAGCAACATTGTAATGCACTCACTAAAGGCCACGCTCAGCATTAGCTGCACAGCAAAAGACTGCATGTTTCATCAGTAGGAGGGTAACTGTACAGTGTTAAAATGAGAAAACCTTCTGCATGCTTGAAGCAGACTTGCATACAGCGTTGCATTAAAGTTTAAACGTGTCTCTTTAAAAAAGACACAGCGTGTATTTTAGAAGGGACCTGAAGGTTGCGGACTGATGGAAACTGCTTAGTAGCTACTCTGCATTCCTGGCCAGACTGGGCTGACGGGCTCTAGTTGCTGCAGGGATACATCATCACCATGACAACGGGAGGCTGTGCTCAGATGCGACTGGTTGGCCTGCAGCAGTAGGTGCAGCTCCTCAGGCTGTCCCGATCCGCGCTCCCCTCGTTGCTCCCGCGACGCCCGTCATCGTAGTTAGACACTGGATGATAAAGGAGAGTCTAGTTATTACTCAGTTAGGATCTTTTCTTTTCCGTTTGCAAGAGAAAGAACATGTGGATTAAAATGGGCTGTGTTCCTACGTCCATGGCTGTTGGCCCCACGACCTTACTCTGGATAAGAGGAAGAAAATGGATGGATGGATGGATGGATGGATGGATGGATGGATGGATGGATGGATGAAAACAGGAAAAAAGTCATAGAAGTGCAATAAAATTATTTGGAAATACATTTTTGAAGGCTAAAGCTCTCAATGAGAAAAATATTTAGAATGACATCAGAGTCTTGTTTGACTCTTTTTATAGTTTACTTCACTTTAAAGTTTGTTTATGTTTTTGCACAGAGCTGTTTTAGTAAAACCTAATTAGACTTTAAAAGAGGAAAGATAAATAACTTGAAAATATGACAGAGCTTACAGTATCAGCCTTTGCCTCGTGTGCAAATAAACAACTCAGACACCTTTAGAGGTTGTTCTTGTATCATGGTTTGCCATCAGGCAAGGCTGAGTCATATCCTGTCATCTGTCAAACATGGTGTTACAGTGAGGCGGCCAAAATATCTGCAGTCAAATGTTTAACATAATCTTGATAATCAGACTCTTACTTTGTCCCAGTTAAAGTTTAGATTGTGCAGAAATGTTGGCAAAGCCAGCAGTAATTCCTGAACAATGTTTTAATCATGCAAATTTAACAAGACAATCCCAGTTTAAAACATATTTTTAAATTAAAGACACAAATTAAAATATGCCAGTGGAAAATGTGGTTGCTCTAATAAATCCCCAAACACAGTCAACAGATACATTTGGTGTTGTCTTACAGCTTTCCTCCTCCTCATTCCCTAGTTCATCCTCCTCTTCTTCCACCTCCTCCTCTGGGAGCAGATGTCCATGGCAGGGACTGGTGGGAGTGATCTGACTGGGTCCCTCGAGACTCGTGCCCAGCTGCAACCTCCGCATGTGTCGCACCACGGCTGTCGCATTAAACGCTTGCTGAAGCACAGGATTACAGAAGCGGAAAATTCAAAACAAGAACTTTATTCTGTACAAATCCAGTTAAGGTTTTACTCACATACAACCTATAATTACATATCTCCTTCACTCATGTTTTCAATACATTTACTGTGGTCTCTAAATGTGAGTCATTCTCTGTGGAGAAAAAAAGGATTTAGCTGGTGTCACCTAGGGTGACAGACAAATTCCCAAGTGGAAAAATAAAAGTTGGGACAGTGAAAACTGGAAAAGATTTTTAAACAGCTGACAAAGTCCTATTAAATAGGATCCAATATCAATATTGATCTCAGATCTAGCTGAGTAAGTTGGCCATCCGAGTAAAGACGGGCTGGTAACAGCTTTGGGTACAGCGCTGAGCTTCGCCCAGTCTTGCGTTTCCCCGGGGGGTTTGGTAAATTCATGACAGTGTTTTTGGCAAAGCAGTGTGAGGCCTGTTGTTGACGTCTTGAGTTTTGAAAAGTAAACTGCAGTATTTGTGATTTTTCCAGCTGAAGGCTGTTGAGTTATCTGTCTGACAAAAGGAAATCCTGGCTCTGTGTGTGTGTGTGTGTGTGTGTGTGTGTGTGTGTGTGTGTGTGTGTGTGTGTGTGTGTGTGTGTGTGTGTGTGTGTGTGTGTGTGTGTGTGTGTGTGTGTGTGTGTGTGTGTGTGTGTGTGTGTGTGTGTGTGACTGAGTGCACTGGTCCAGTTGTGATACTGTGCAAAGTGTGTGTTTGCTAATAAAAATTTTAAAAAGTGATATTATAGTCAGATTCATAAAATTCACTGTAGTGCCAAATTTTAATGTTTTAAATTTACGCAAAAGGGGTTCCCCATCACTCGTTAAAATCAAATACTCTAATCCAGTTCTCCTGATCAGTCTTTGAACAAAAACCAAACATTAAAAAGGGTTTAAACGGGGCTAATGCTCGCCCTTGGACGTCGCAAAGCCATTTGGTCTTGAGTTGTTGGGACATCGGCCATGGGAACATTGATTACATCCAATGGATTTCAATGGATGCTGGACTCAATGGCTGATGGCAAGAGATGAGGTGATAGCTGATGTAGAGTCAATTATTCCCTGGGTAATAATAAATAAGAATGTGAAATGGATCAACTGTCTTTATTTCAATCAGCAAAGAATCCTAAATTACACGACGAATGCTCTCGGCCGTCTCGGTGAACAGCAATATTTTTTTCTTTTAAACTTCCTAAGTAAAGTTTATTTATATTAACAGTCTTTAAAAACAGTTTAAAATGAACAACAGCTTCACTAATGTTCTCTATAATGAGCGGCAAAATTCAGAGTAAAAACCTCACAGATGGTGTGAACCACCAGAAGATACATTCAATTATTTATGACACACACACACACACTGAGCTGTAGCACATAGGTTGTGTTAAAACAGGACAAAGATTACACTGAATGATGAAACTAGGCAGCAGTAAATAATGCTGACTCATCAACAGGACCTTCATACTGAATAATGAATCAAATCTTATGTTTACCTTCAATTTATGAACAAACCTAACGACAGAGGAAATGTCTGGTATGTTGTAGAATGAAAAATTGAAAAATGTGCACGTTCAGAAATTTGAAAAGAAGCAATCCAACACAAGATCACCCACAAACAGCTTTTTATCAATGAATCTTGAGGTGAAAAGGAAGAAATGTGAGGTGTTGGTGATCCAGGAGTTAAAGGGAATTATTCTACTTTATAACGAAAAGAGTTGGTGATCCAGGAGTTAAAGGGGAAATATTCTACTTTATAACAAAAAGAGAAAGAAAGAAAACAATCTTTTATGTAGCACCTCTAGATAAAAATCACAAGGCGCTTCACAAGAACAAGAAAATCAAATGTAGAAAAGAAAAGCGTACTTTACTTCCAAGATGAGTATTTCAGCAGGTTGATGACTGACCTTCCATTTACTTTTGGCAAAATTCTTCTTAATTTGTGCACTGACAGACTCGTGGATGTTCTTGTTGAGAGCCGTGTCTCCACATATCCTGGAAACCAAGAAGAGTTCAAGGACCACAAACATCTGAGACAATTTTTCAAAGATTTTGATGTTTAACTTTATTTCAGTGTCCATAGAAACATCCACTGAAGCAGCTATCTTTGTTAAGCTGCTTAAACCAAAAAACTTGAAGATTTTTTTCTTTTTACCACATGATACAAAATAACTTAAATTGCATCCCAACAACCCAAATGTTTGGCATCCTACAGTGACAATTTTTCAGCATGACTCACAGCAGAATAAATAAATAAATGAGAGATAAAACAGAAATTAATTATTAGGCTCTCCTACCATGGATGTTGGAGGGCCTGCTCACATGTATATCGCTTCAAAGGCTCTTTTTCCATCATGTGACAGATGAAGTCTTTGGCTGCCATTGAAAGTGAAGTTCATGTCACATAATAGTAATAACTGATGCTTATCATCGATGTACTTTGTGTTGCGTGTGTGCATGCGAGTGTGTGTGTGTGTGTGTGTGTGTGTGTGTGTGTGTGTGTGTGTGTGTGTGTGTGTGTGTGTGTGTGTGTGTGTGTGTGTGTGTGTGTGTGTGTGTGTGTGTGTGTGTGTGTGTGTGTGTGTGTGTGTGTGTGTGAGCACCTGAATCTGAGATGTCATCCCAGTACGGCGAGTCAAACTCATACTCTGCCTTCAAAATCTGCTCAAATAGCTTGGCATCATTTTCATCATAAAATGGGGGATAGCCACATAACCTAAAGGAGAAATATCGTAACATGTTCATATTTTGTGCCCATCGGCAGAAATAGCAAACAATAATGTGACAAGCACCCTTGCTAAACCGTTTTATTTGCAGTAAAAACATTTTTCAAATATTGCTTGAAAGGCTTTTCACAGCAGCAAAAAAGGAAGCAAAGCCAGAGCAGTGTGACAAACAGAATGTTCTATCCTGTTTGCACTTAAGAATTTATTTTTATGATTTATTTTTGGAGTCTGGATGTGTTCTTGTTGGGAAACATTTAGGTGAGGACCTGTTGTCTGTGAACACAGCCTGTCCTTTGTTGGCTGGCAGAGCCAGCAAAGGGGAGAGATTGATTGAGAGGAAGTTCACAAAAAGTTCTGGAGGTTTTAACCTGTTTTTTGGTGAGGTCTTCCCAGATTGTTGATGGTGCTGAGCTGCTGTGACTTAGACGTTAAGAACTACCTTGTTTTTAACCATGAAAACAGCACATAATACAGGCTAGCTTACTAAATAGTTATACAGTTATTCAGGTTCATCACGTTGTTGAATAATGGCAGAAAAGGTTACAATAAGACTTCAAAAGCATAAATGATAATGATAAATGACCCGCACTTGTATAGCGCCTCTCAGAGTAAGGACTCCAAAGCGCTTTACACTACAGTGTATCATTCATCCATTCACACACACATTCACACACTGGTGGGGATGAGCTACGATGTAGCCACAGCTGCCCTGGGGCACACTGACAGAGGCGAGGCTGCCGAGCACAGGCGCCACCGGTCCCTCCGACCACCACCAGCAGGCAAGGTGGGTTAAGTGTCTTGCCCAAGGACACAACAGCAAAATTCTCTGTCTGGAGCCAGGATCGAACCTGTAACCTTCCGATAACTGGACAACCCGCTCAACCTGTTGAGCTACTGCTGCCCCTAAAACTGAACCCTTGGAAACAACTATTGTGCTTTCCTGTATTCTGGAGAGATAGGAGGATTGACCTTTGCTTAGGTTTTTGCAAAATGTGGTTTGATTGAACGGCAATGAAAACATCTCGTACTGCACTTCCAATCAAAGAAATGCTTTATTTTAAACTAGTTATGAAAAGTCAATGGAGGCCAACTTACAGAATGTAAGAAATCACTCCTATGGACCAACAGTCTACTGCTTTACTGTATGGTTTCTGAGCGAGCACCTCGGGAGCTGTGAACACAAAGCACAATGCACATTAACACATGAGACAGAGTGGAGGTAAGAGTAAATTGAAGTAGTCTTGACCTTCTAGTAAAGCCATGTGACCTGGCAGGTTGCTTTAAACAGCAAGAGAGCTCTTCTGAAACACTTGCAATTGACTCAGTAGAGGATGAAAGAGCCTCTCACAGCACAGAGAATAAAGAGGAGGTATCAGCTGTGATGGCTCTCATAATAAGGACAAAAGAGGATGAGGAGAAATAGATCCTTACCCACGTAACCAGGTGTGCCACAGGCTGTAGACATAACGCTACCCGCTCCCTCAATCTTTGATAGACCAAAGTCACTGATCATGATCTTTGAGTCTTCGTCCATGCTGTAATACAATAAATTCTCTGGCTGCAAAAGCAAAAATCAGAGGAGGATCAGAGAGGGTTGTAATCAGGAAGCACAGTCAAAGAGCAAGCTGTTATTTCTGTCTTCTCTGGATGGAGATACCTTCAAGTCTCTGTGGACGATCCCCATATCGTGGAGATATTTGACAGCGTCTAAGATCTGATGGATGAGCTGACTGGCGTCTCTCTCCGTGTAGAAACCTTTCTCTACGATCCTGTCGAAGAGCTCACCTCCAGAAACTCTGTCATTTAAAAAATTATTCATCAAAAAAGGAAAAGATTCATGCCATTTAGGTTTTGCTCATCAGTAAAATGTTAAACAAATGAGCAACATCCTAAATGTGTACCAGATATAGATAATTTCTGCATTGTTAATCAACGTTTGCATCCATTAGATGAGACAATTCTTCCAATCTACCTATCTGGGCTTCAATGGAGCTGCAGATGCCCAATTTTATTTCCAGTGACATTCAACAAAGTAACTTAGTGCCCTTGGAGCTTGGAAATGAGGAAAGGCACTTAGATTTAAGTCGGAGAGACAAAAATAAGGGATGTCAATAAAAAAAAATCATAATGATGTCACCCTGATTCACAGATACCACCAAGTTCTTGCTCTTCCTGCTGCTTAAAGACACACACACACACACACACACACACACACACACACACACACACACACACACACACACACACACACACACTTCTACACTCTCAACCAGTGTGGTGGGAGGATTATTTCTTATAAGTAAGAAGCAGAGAGAACGAGTTTAAACTTTGCATATTAACTGATCCTCAAATATTAAGAGAAGAGAACCCGTAACGTTATATCCAAATCGTTTAAAGCAGGTCAACCAATAGCAGAGCTCATTCTAATTCCTAAAAATGTTAACTTAAAAAAACCCTAAAACAAAAAAATTCTAAAATATTTATGGAGGTTTGAAGAAAAGTTAACTCATATATACCTTACATTATATTGCAAGCATTATTGCTCAAAATAAGACTATTTTTTAAAAGTAGCATACATAGAGAGAGATACATAGATGTATATATATATATATATATATATATATATATATATATATGTGTGTGTGTGTGTGTGTGTGTGTGTGTGTGTGTGTGTGTGTGTGTGTGTGTGTGTGTGTGTGTGTGTGTGTGTGTGTGTGAAGGAATGCAGACAAATGCTGTGAAACCTGCTCCACCCCTGCCTGTGGAATTGTGGCCTACCTGGCAAGGACACAAAAACTTAAGGGGTCATTTGTGCTCTTCGCACCCTGGATCTCCCTCCCACCTCTGAACAACGGGGATCGGTCATGCACACTGAGTCTGCAGCGGCTCTCTCTGCAGCACTCTGCCTCTCGAAGACTCATGTCTGTGAACTGTCTGAAGTCTTGTGCTTATGTGTTGAGGTGTTTTTCATAGCAAAGCTACCCCCTGTAGGGGGTAACTCTCGTATACCTTTTTCCCCCTCCCCATACTTTCTTCATGTTACCCATTTTCACTTCTGCATATGGGAGAAGCAAAATGCCCATTGTTCAACCTGATTCTGTTAGGTTGTGTCTTGTTCTTGTTAGTGTACGTCAAATCTTGGACGGGTTGTTTTGAAACTGTAATTGTGTTGCACTGGGATGCTGGTACAATAATACATATATATACATATATATACATATATATATATATATATATGTGCTTATGCATATATATACATATATATATATATGTACATATATATACATATATATATATATATATATATATATATATATATATATATATGTATATATGAAGAAGTTTATTTGTATAGCATTTTTCACAGATTTAAATCGCAAAGTGCTTCACAGACAAAAACAAACAATGAAACTTATACAATGAATAACATTATTACTTAATGAATAGAGATTTAATGTCAGGGGGTTTTATCCTTTCCTGAATAATTGACTCTTTCTAATCCGTTTTAAAACTTTATCTCTTCCTTCTCTTTTCGTCTTCAACCAAACGAAAGAAGAAGAGGAACTCACAGCTGCATGATGAGATATAGATGGGATGTACTCTCAAAGATGTCCTCCAGCGAAACAATGTTGGAGTGTTTGATTCTGAGGAAGAAACATGACAGGAATCAGTTTCTGCAGAACCACATCTCTCAGTGCTATGTTAGCCTAATGACAAATTATTCTGTACACAAATGCCCTAAAATAAACCAAGACGTGTGTGCAGCTGGAACCATCACAGAAGACAAAACTTTGGGCCTCAACAGGATAAAAAAGCTACAACAGATGCTGGTCTCATCTCACTCATAAAACTATTTGATATGAAAAGAGTGTCCAACAGACGGATGAGCATCACTCTTGGCACTCGAGTCAAACTGAGAACATATGAGCCGGTGCAAACACCACAGCAGCAGAGAAAAGCCACTGTGACTTTCTGCAAAACCAGAGAATCCCTCTCTTTCTTTTAACTTTCTGACGCTCCACTCTATTTACTTTACTGCTGCTTTTAATATTTTTCCAAACTCCACCTATTCCATGCCTCTTGTCTTCTATCACACACCCCTGTCTGCCCTCCCCTCCCCACATCTCCACCCCTCTGTGTCTCTTTCTCTTTCTTCAGCACACTGCTGCGGGGAACTCCACACCATTTCCACCTCTGAGTGCTGTTGCCCCAGCAACAGGAACACTAAAAATAGGTCCATCTTCTTTACTCCTGACATTTCCGGTGCACAATCCTACTGTTTCTACTGACACCATGCATTTAGTCATCTTGGGTTGACCCCCATAACTGCATCGTTGGAAGACACCGCATGAGACAGTTCTTCCTTGGCGATGCGGGGATGTCAGCTGATGCATGCACGGTCCACACCTGTGTAGGACAGCAATCTCATTTTCAATGTTGTTTTCTTTGCCTTCCAGCGCCTTCTTTGGGATGCACTTGATGGCCACTAGCCTCTGGGTTCTCTTCTCCTCTGCTAGAACCACCTCAGAAAATGCACCCCTGAAACATTAAAAAAGCATTCAAATTAAAAGGGACACATCATTTTGCGTAATTTGTTTGTGCACAGATTCATGTCAATATGTGACATGAAACTGTTTTTGCTACATCTCCAGGCCTTCTGATGCACTGCATAAAAAAGCCTTTGGTTTTTGTGGCACGTGTGTGTGTGAGAAAGTTGTGTTTGCATGAATAATTCAGAATGGGGACATCGCTAAGTGGTTTCTAAAGGACTGAGGAAAGACTCGAGAGCTGAAGCATCTATTGGAAAAGCAGCTGCCTTTTAAAAAATAGGCTATTTTTAATCCATTCAATAATAGATAGAGTAAATGTGGAGTAGCTGTTTCTGAGGGAGACCAGACTGCATTATGGGTTATGGTTTGGTAATGATGAGAGGGAGAATTGTGAGTATTTATTTACACAGTCTGCCCACAGGAGTGTGGGAGGAGGCCTGAATGCATGAACATTGTAAGTCACCACGGGGAGCTTTTACACGTGTGTGAACACAACCCTCTGAAGAAAACAGATCATCAACTATGTTCAAGAAATTGTTGACAAAAACTCAAACAGCATTTGCCAAATGGGATCAATTAAATTAGCCGATTTCTGTGTAGTTGCTAAGGCCAAACCCTTGCTTAGAATAAGTAAGAAAACCATTTTCACACCCATCTCTTGTTTCCTTTTAAATACTTCCTAAAATTATCCCACAGCAAAATCACATTCATCTGTGGCTCCTATCGACCTCTAAAGGCATTCTAATGTGTTTACATCTTCAGCGTTTACAGCACGCCTCCTTCAGAGGGTCGAGGACGCTAAAACCTCATCAGATAAACTTTTTCGAGCTGTGAGGAGTATTTGTGTGGTGATTACTTTATACTGTGAGAATATCCAATCTGTTTTGTTGAAAAACTATGTGTACATGTGCAAGATTAATCACTGTTCTTATATGTTTAAAATCCAAACACTTTAAACTCTGTTGCTCAAAATAACTTCGAACACACTAAGCTAACTGGGGCAGCAGCAGCTCAACAGGTTGAGCGGGTTGTCCAGTAATCGGAAGGTTGCAGGTTCGATCCCGGCTCCGGACAGAGATTTCTGCTGTTGTGTCCTTGGGCAAGACAATTAACCCAACTTGCCTGCTGGTGGTGGTCGGAGGGACTGGTGGCGCCTGTGCTCGGCAGCTTCGCCTCTGTCAGTGAGCCCCAGGGCAGCTGTGACTACATCGTAGCTCATCACCATCAGTGTGTGAATGTGTGTGTGAATGGATGAATGATACACTGTAGTGTAAAGCGCTTCGGAGTCTTTACTCTGAGAGGCGCTATACAAGTGCAGGTCATTTATCATTTATCATATAATTTGGTTCCTGACTGAATGAATCTGCTTCAGTGCTCAGAAATCTGCAACACAGTCTCAATGTCACTTCAGGAATTTTAACAAACATCTAAAAATACTTAAGCTAAATTATGTTTCCAATCTTATTTCCACCAGTACCCACAGGCATCCTGGTTCTTTCAAATCTCTGTAATGTCCCACAGCCATATACACCTAACAAAAATATAAACGCAACACCTTTGTATGTGCTCCGATTTTTCATGAGATGGATTTAAAGATCCAAAATTCATTCCAGATACACAATATTACCATTTCTCTCAAACATTGTTCACAAATCAGTCTAAATGTGTGATAGTGAGCACTTTTGCTTTGCTGAGATAATCCATTCCACCTCACAGGTGTGCCACATCAAGATGCTGATCTAACATCATGAGTAGTGCACAGGTGTACCTTATACTGCCCACAATAAAAGGCCACCCTGGAATGTGCAGTTTTGTCTCACAGCAAAATGCCACAGATGCCACAAGCATTGAGGGAGCATGCAACTGGCATGCAGACAGCATGAATGTCAACCAGATCTGTTGCTCGTGCATTGAATGTTCATTTCTCCACCATAAGCTGTCTCCAAAGGCGTTTCAGAGAATATGGCAGTACATCCAACTGACGTCATAACTGCAGACGACGTGTAACCACACCAGCCCAGGACCTCCACATCCAGCAGGTTCACCTCCAAGATCGTCTGAGACCAGCCACTCAGACAGCTGCTGAAACAATTGGTTTGCATAACCAAACAATTTCTGCACAACTGTCAGAAACCGTCTCAGGGAAGCTCAACTGCATGCTCATCATCCTCATCGGGGTCTTGAAGTGACTCCAGCTCGTCGCCATAACAGACTTGAGTGGGCAAATGCTCACATTTGATGGCGTCTGGCACGTTGGAGAGGTGTTCTCTTCACGGATGAATCTCGGTTTACGTTGTTCAGGGCATTTGGCAGACGGCGTGTGTGGAGTCGTGTGGGTGAGCGCTTTGCTGATGTCAATGTTGTGGATCGAGTGGCCCATGGTGGTGGTGGGGTTATGGTAAGGGCAGGCATTATGGACGAATAACACAGGTGCATTTTATTGGTGGGATTTTGAATGCACAGAGATACCGTGATGAGATCCTGAGGCCCATTGTTGTGCCGTACATCCATGAACATCACCTCGTGTTTCAGCAAGATAATGCACGGCCCCATAGCAAGGATCTGTACACAATTCTTGGAAGCTGAAAATGTCTCAGTTCTTGCATGGCCAGCATACTCACCGACCATGTCACCTGTTGAGCATGTTTGGGATGTGCTTGACCGGCATATACTGTATGACAGCGTGTACCAGTTCCCACTGATATCCAACAACTTCACACGGCCATTGAAGAGGAGTGGACCAACATTCCACAGGCTACAACTGACAATCTGATAAACCCGATGCGAAGAAGATGTGTTGCACTGCATGAGGCAAATGGTGGTCACACCAGATACTGACCGGTTCTGAGTCCCCAGACCCCCAATAAAGCAAAAAACTGCACATTCCAGGGTGGCGTTTTATTGTTGTCAGTATAAGGTACACCTGTGCACTACTCATGTCAGATCAGCATCTTGATGTGGCACGCCTGTGAGGTGGGATGGCGACGGTGGCACAGGAGTTAAGTGCTCGCCTCGTAATCAGAAGGTTGCAGTTTCGAGCCCCGCTTAGTCTGTCACTGTTGTTGTGTCCTTGGGCAAGACACTTAACCCACGTTGCCTGCTGGTGGCGGTCGGAGGGACCGGTGGCGCCAGTGCTCGGCAGCCTCGCCTCTGTCAGTGCGCCCCAGGGTACCTGTGGCTAAATTGTAGCTCGTCCCCACCAGTGTGTGAATTTGTGTGTGAATGGGTGAATGACTGAGTGTGTTGTAAAGCACCTTGAGGGGTTCCAAGATTCTAGAAGGCGTTATATCAAATACAGGCCATTTACCATTATCTCAGCAAAGCACAGGTGCTCACTATCACACATTTAGACTGATTTGTGAACAATGTTTGAGAGAAATGGTGATACTGTGTATCTGGAATGAATTTTAGATCTTTAAGTCCATCTCATGAAAAATCGGAGCAAAAACAAAAGTGTTGCGTTTATGTTTTTGTTAAGTGTATATAGATAGATAGATAGATAGATAGATAGATAGATTGATTGATTTCCACATTGTATATATAGCATATATGTTTCCGTGTGTGTGTGATTATGTTTATGTTTATTTATTTAGCAGACGCTTTTATCCAAAGCGACTTACAATTTATAACCTATAGGGCATGTTATGATCTGTGGGGGAAACCGGAGTACCCGAAGGAAACCTACGCATGCATGGGGATAACACGCAACTCCACGCAGAAAGGCCACAGCCAAGTTTCGAACCTGCAACCTTCGTGCTGCGAGCCAACAGTGATAACCACTGCCCCACCATGTAGCACGTGTGTGTGTGTGTGTGTGTGTGTGTGTGTGTGTGTGTGTGTGTGTGTGTTTGCATGTGTGTCATGTGTGTATGTGTGCAATTGTTGCATGTGTGTGTGTGTGTGTGCATGAATATGTTTGTGTGTGTGCGTGTTTGTGTGTGTGTGTGCATATGTGTGTATGTTTTGCATGTGTGCGTGTGTGTGTGTGTGTGTGTGTGTGTGTCTGTTTGCATGTGCTGCATGTGTGTGTGTGTGTGTGTGTGTGTGTGTGTGTGTGTGTGTGTGTGTGTGTGTGTGTGTGTGTGTGTGTGTGTGTGTGTGTGTGTGTGTGTGTGTGTGTGTGTGTGTGTGTGTGTGAACAGCTGCCTATTTGAACAAATATTGATTCTCACGTTCCTCGCATCACACTGGGTGTCTTGTGGTGTGTGTAAGTGATCACCAGGCTGCTGCTCTACTGTTTCTGTGTCTTCAAACCTTCACCAAACATTTACTCATCATACACAATCCTATTAAACAGACACACATTGTGTGAAGATGCACATCTTTGCATCAATAATTACAAGAAAATTACAATTTTCTTAATTTGAGCTCTATTTACCCATCTCCTAGGATCTAAGTGATTAACAGTATCAGGGCTATTTATAATCAGTCCAACAGGGAGGGAGAGAATTAGTATTCACAAGCATGAAATAGCTGCCATGTAATCCCAGAAGCAATTGTCCACATCAGGATGTCTAACTGTGACTAAAAGGTGGACACATTCACTGGTGTTACCCTTTCATTGGTTTGTTAACTGCAGTTGAAAGCTTTGATGTTTGATGTTTTTGTCATTCTGGGACTTAAAGGGAAGAAGAAACTGGAGATAAATCTTTTTAGAAGAAATCTATAGAAAGATAATTTGCTTGACTATAGTGGAGGGATGAAAAAAGTCCCAGTCTAAAACATTTCCCTTTTTAGTCTGATTTATTTTAGTGTCCATTTGTGAATGTGTAGGCTGGTAAGAGAATAAGACCAGATCCATATTGACAGAGTAATCAGATCCAAACCAATCTCCAGATCCAATAACCATTGTATTACTGTGTCCTCTATCTGCTCCGCCACAGTCCTGAGTAGATAAAAGCTCTTAACTTCTCCACAGATAAAACCAATGAGCAGACAGTGTTCAGAGCAGTGTAGTCACAGATAATAATGTTCTTTAATATCCAACTCAGCACACATGACGAGTCACATCCTTGTCTTTTAAAATGTTTTTCAAACATTTTATTTTATTTATTTATTTCAGACAAAATATGTTCTCTCTACTTTAGGCCACTTTTTTTTTCGTTTTCATTGTGGAATTTTAAAGAAGAAATATTATTTAAAACTCTACTTTTGCATTCTTCGGCTGCCCAGTGGGTCTCTACTGCCTCTGTTGACACTTCAAATGTGAAAAAACCATCGTTCCATTTTCTGTCAGTGTTTGGATTTTGGAATTATGTGCCAAAAACAAGTCGTTTCAGAAAGTCCCCATTTGTGATGTCACAAACAAGGAAATTAGCAAAGAACCATCTTTTACATGCAGGAGAAAGCTGCTGCTGGAGGAGCAGTGGTTCTAATTCAAGCCCCATTCCAGATATGGAAGCTTCTCAGCTTATAGGAGCCCAAGCAGGGGGTGGGTGGGTGTGGCAAGCTCCAGTATGTTTTCCTAAAGTGACAGCCCTAAAATGGCTCATTCAGGAAGGTACTGAAAATGTCAAACATAAAACAGCTGAGATCACTTCATGGGAGAGGATTTAGTGCAAAGGATTTCATAAACCTGTTTTGTTTCGACCATAGGCCTATTATTTCTTAATACTTTTTGTCTACTTTAACCCTCTCAGGCTCAAAATAAGTTTGGATAAAAGGACAAACAACTAAGTCCTTCAGGAGTACTTCTGAGTTAAAAAATGCTCATGAAATACATATGTGGAGTAACCAGGTAGGTAGGTTTTAACATTTTAAATCTGCAATGCCTGTCTCCAGAGGGTTACATTTTAACAAGACATTTCAATAGGACTTAGAACCTGGGATCCAACCTTATCAAATAAACGTTTTGGCTACACACTTGACAAAAATAAAATGTATTTGAATCACCTAAGCCTACAACTACTCAAGTTTAAGAATTAAATGAAAAAATATATATATATACAAAAAAAAATAATAATAACATTTTTATCACTTCCTATTCCATACCTTTTTAGTGTCTGGTCCAAGATCTGTATAATCCTATCAGACCAATCACAGAAATCTTCAGTTTCAGCATTTTATGTGAAATTTTAAATTATTACAAAACATACCTGCTATTCAAGAGACTTCTTGTAATAATGTGCATTTTGCTGGGTTATTTGAAAAAGTTGTAATAACTCTTAGTGTGTGTGTGTGTGTGTGTGTGTGTGTGCGTGTGTGCGTGTGTGCGTGTGTGCGTGTGTGCGTGTGTGCGTGTGTGCGTGTGTGCGCGTGTGTGTGTGTGTGTGTGTGTGTGTGTGTGTGTGTGTGTGTGTGTGTGTGTGTGTGTGTGTGTGTGTGTGTGTGTGTGTGTGTGCGTGCGCACATGCGTGCATGTGTGCATTTGTCCGTGGCTTTAGCAAAATATCTCAGGAAATCCTTGAAGGCAGAGTATTATCACTGGATGAACATCTACAGCTGACAAACGAGTTAACTTTCAATGGCTAATCAACAGTAAAGATGGCGACTGCTCTGCTCCTGCCCCAAGTGAAGGAGTTTAAGTATCTCGGGGTCTTGTTCATGAGTGAGGAAAGGATGGAGTGCAAGATTGGTAGGTGAATTGGTGCAGCGTCTGCAGTGATGTGGGCGTTGTACCGATCTGTCGTGGTGAAGAGAGAGCTGACCATCCCTGCTCAGCTCTTGATTTACCGGTTGATCTACGTTCCCATCCTCATCTATAGTAACAAGCTTTGGGTAGTGACCAAAAGAATGAGATCACAGATACAAGCGGCCAAAATGAGGTTTCTCCGCTAGAGATAGGCTGAGAAGCTCGGTCATCCGGGAGGGGCTCAGAGTAGACCCGCTGCTCCTCCACATCAAGAGGAGCCAGTTGAGGTGGCTCAGGTATCTGGTTAGGATACCTCCTTGGCACCTTGCTGCTGAGGTTTTCCAGGCATGTCCAACTGGGAGAAGGCCCAAAGAAAGACCCAGGACACACTGGAGGGACTATGTTTCATGTCAGGCTAGGGAACGTTTTGGGATTCCCTGGAGGAGCTGGCCCAAGTGGCTGAGGAGAGGAAGGTCTGGGCCTCTCGACTTAGGCTACTGCCCCTGCAGCCCAAACCTGGATAATCGAAGGAAAATGGACGGAGGATGGATAGACTGATGGGATACTGCTCCACCAATTTTACATAACAATGGTTTTGCATTAATCAAAAATGAAAAATCTTCAATAAAAACTGTCTAGAGCACAATATCATTGTAGAATTGAGGGATTTCTTTCCCATCTGAGAGCCCAAATATGAGGACAGTGTGTCCTAAAGTGGATTGCAAACAGAGGTAGAACTGCAGAGGATTAGCCGGATCTGAATATAATATTTCAACACAAATCAATTACCGGTAACTTCACACACTGAATTCCTGGATAAAGCTCCTCTAATCTTTTCTCTGAGCATAAGGCGCTTTCCATCAACACATTCATTCTGCCTTCTTCCCGGTCCAACAAGAGCAACAGAAGCAAAAAATTATATATTTGTGTGGATTTGTCCTCCATTTTCCACAGCAGAATTCTGGAATACTGACAACTTTTCAGGGTTTTATGTTTTGAGCATTTAGCTGCCTGTACACAGTTATATTTACAGTTTGTTGTGGTCAAGAAGATGCACAACAATATTGCATATTTTAGAATCTCCACAAAAACCCCCTCTCATCCGTCCACTGCCGCTTGATCTTGCTGGACTTTTTGCAGACAGCAATGTCTGATGTCCCCTTCGGGGGAAGCAGGTGTGTTCCCAAAATGAGAGGGAACATTCCCTGCACATTTGGCACCCTCGTCTCATCACAGGTGGACACGTGCAGGAGGTCACCCATCCTCGACCATCTGAGCTCAGGCCTGCCTCATCCCCAGTCACGGGTGCTGTTAGAGTGAGTGGAGCTAACACTTAAGGTAGTCCTCCGGCCAGAAAGAGGAGGCTCGCGGACTGGGTCCAACCTATTGAGTGCCACTGGATCAGGATAATGACTGGGCTGTTTACAAAATGCTTTTTCCCAATTGTTTAATTCTGGGAAATTTTGCTAGCCTAGAAGTCTAGACAGACCGTAGCAGAAGCAAAATGATTTTGCTCCATATGCCTGTCTAGCCATGCTCCATAGGAACCTCAGTAGGTCTATCATTGGCCCAAACCATCTTGTGTTATAATCTTCATTATCACTCTATGGGTTTGGAGGGCCAATCACAGCGCTCTATGGGTTTGGAGGGTCAATAACAGCGGTCTATTGGTTTGGTGGACCAATCACAGCAGTCTATTGGTTTAGTGGGCCAATCACAGCGGTCTACGAGTTTGAATGGCCAATCACGGTGCTCTATGGTTTTGGAGGGCCAATCACAGCAGTCTATTGGTTTGGGGGTGGGATGTTACTGCAACAAACAAAATTGCGACAGCTTGTTTGGAATGGTTTTGGCATCAAGTTTGGACAATTTGGACTTGGGCTCAAGACTCTTGAGTCAAGAGAAAATAGTTTCTTAAGTACTTTATTTAAAAAAATGATGTATTTGCATATTTTCCTACAGTGTATGTAGCACTTTCTTTGTTTTCCAATGGTATGTGTAAACATTGTGAAAGACAACCGATTCTGCACCAGGACTGAGATCTGCCTATGGATCAGGGCCACTTCACCAAGTTATGTCAATTGGTTCCACTAAACCTAAATGTAGCGAGTTTTATACCTTGTTATATTTTGTTATGTTATATGTAAATGTATATTACTCTTTACATGTAAGCATGATTTAGCAGAACCATTTCACATTACTTGGTGGAGTGAAATCAGCATTTTCTAGGCGTTGTAGGCATAGGTGGATACAGCTGAGTCCTGGAACCAGATGCTATTACTCAATGCACCAATTGACATATAAAACTGTGGTGATCAGAAGGACCCAGGTGGGATCTGGAGGGTGCATTTGACCAACATCACACAGCTTTAGTCAGTAAACAGAACTCAAATGTTTTGCTACTTACGTTCCAAGCACTTCTTTGAAGTCATAATGTTCTTTGATATCTGTTGTCTTCTTCTTCCATCCATTTCCGTCCTCTCCAAGAGGCATCCTACAGCGCTGTTCGGTTCGCCCCACTAAAACTGTAAAACAAGTGTGTGACATTTTAAACAGCCACGTGTGTCACAAAATGTGTCAAACTCACTTCAAACAGGAAAGTTTCTAATATTTGTCACCTCAATTGTGCAGTCCATATCACTGTAAACCCCAATAAGTTCAGTCTACTTAAAAAAACCAAGGTAACCCGTTGCCTTAAATTTTTTAAGTAATGAAGAATTAGTTGAATTGATGCAGCTGAGTATGTTGAATGTACTTAAGGCCTTAATGGGATTAAATTTAAGATTTAAGTTGAATATACAAATAACAAAAGTTACATTAACGTAAGATACTTAGTTTAACCAATGCCCCACCATCCTTTTAGTTAACTCAACTTGTCAAGAAAGCCAATTACCTATCAAACTACATTGTGTATTCTAACTCAACAAACTTAACTTTTATAATGCATAAAAATCAAAATATAATATTCAATCCAAAGAGCCAAATAAATACATACACAATATTTTATTAAACATTTAAATCTCAAATAACACATTTGTCCATGGAATGACAACAGAATAAAGAACTGAAGGGTAAAAAAAAACTCCATTTTTTTTTACACAAAGAGCCCACACTCTCCCCTCTATGGTAGAGGATTAGGCACACTGAAGAAAAATAAAAAGTATTCTGACTTTAATCTCAGAATTCAGACTTTTTTTTATTCTGAGATGAAAGTTTAAAAAAGACAGAATTCTGAGAAAAAAGTCAGAATACTTTTTATTTTATACAATGGCCCTAATCCTCTTCCGTACCCCTCCACCTCCTCTCAACCCCCCTTCCTCTTAACATTCATTAATAGATGAACATTTAATGAACTCTAAATTTAAAAAGGGCATGTATGGGCGTGATAAAGTAAAACTATATAAAAAAAAATAATAATTTTATTTTTTAACACAAAGCCCATACTCTCCCCTCTATGGAAGAGGATTAGGGACACCAAAGAAAAATAAAAAGTATTCTGACTTTAATCTCAGAATTCAGTTTTTTTTTAATTCCGAGATGAAAGTAAAAAAAAGTCAGAATTATGACTTTTTTCCTCCGTTAAAGTCAGAATTCTGAGAAAAAAGTCAGAATACTTTTTATTTTTCTTCAATGGCCCTCTTCTGTACCCCTCCACCTCCTCTCAGCCCCCTTCCTCTTAACATTCAGGAATGCATGAACATGAACCAAAAGTTTCTCTAAACTTAATTAATAAAAAAAAGGCATGTATGGGCGTGATACAGGGGACTGAATCTGCAAATGTGCAACTGAACTGGCCTTTAAAATAATAACATGCTATAATTTTGTTGCATTTTCTAAGATTATTCTTAAATTATTGATACGCAAATATTTATTACACAGAAATTGTTTCCCTGTGAATTCTCTTTTGAAAATCTTCTTATACATCTAAATAAATTAGACAGGAAGTGTAAAATATAAAGGAAACCATGAAAAACTAAAATGCTATTGAATAAATTAGGCTAAAAATAGTTCCAGTTTTTGTGACTCCCACCAAAAGTCACAGAGAGAGAGAGAGAGAGAGAGAGAGAGAGAGAGAGAGAGAGAGAGAGAGAGAGAGAGAGAGAGAGAGAGAGAGAGAGAGAGAGAGAGAGAGAGAGAGAGAGAGAGAGAGATCTGCTGACAACCAGTTTGCATTAATAAAAAACAGCCAATGACAGCTTTAAAGTAAAAAAGGACCAATAGTGGAGCACCAAAGGGTAGCATCATACCGCAAAACCAAACGCATGGTCAGTGGAGGCAGAAACAGGCTGGAGGACCTGAGCTATATTTAACATCTGAAGCTTCCAACAGCCAGCCTGCCCTAGAGGAAATGGGATTAAATAAATAAAAACACAAACAGAAATTCCAAGAGCTCTCATCAACTGGATTCCTGTGTTTGACAGCCTGCTCTGCATTAAGGCAGCAGGGCGTGAGTTTGTGTGGAAATCAAACACGGTGCTGCTGTGGTCTAAAACTCCTAACGAGGCTGTCTTTTTCCTGCTGTTGGTCATGAAACGCTCCTGTTTAGTAGAGCGAACGGTGCGGGCTCCCGCTCAAGGGTATGGCAGGCAAATGTATGCAACATCTTTCGGTTCCACCAGCAAGGAGGATGCGGTTTCTGCTCGAGCTGAAAGCGCACCGGTTTGTTTGTTTGTTATGATATCAGAAGATGCTCGAATCAAAAGTGTAACTGAAAAGGAACGTACCTAAATGGCGATCTGAAGCTGTGCGCTGCTCTGCTTTCCTCTGGGAGAGATGCTTGTGCGCAGCGCTGGATGCGCTCAGACTTCTCCTGACGTCAAGAAAACCAGACGTCTACGGACGTAGTGTACCAGAAAACCTCTAACTGCTTTCTAAACAACGTGATCTGCGGTTTATTTTCTCTCCCCCTCCTTGAGTTGAGTCCCGTTCTAATGGGAGGGTGCGTTATTTCTTCTTCTTGGACATCTGCTTGTTTTCTCTCGCTTTCCTTCTGTAATCCTCAAGCTGTTGCAGTGTGTGTGCAGGTTATGCGGACAGTTTTTTAGGCTGCTTTCAAAACAGGCACATGTCACCATGAATAATGCACCAAAAGGCAGGAACAGCCTGTAAAGAGCAGACGGGTTTTTGTACAGAACATAACCATATGTCATTGATAAAATGAATTAAAACTTTAAGAATTTGCCACTCTTTTCCCTCACTAATATAACGGTTTCATCTCAAACTCTGAACAGCCTTATTCAGAAACAGTTGCCTTGGCGCGTGGTAAAACAAAAGTTTAAAATCAAGAGGAATTGTTAATTTTGATATAGCCTATAAAGGTTTAGAATATTATAATTATTATTAATGGACCTGCTGTTATGCCAGCAGGCAGGTCTCTTTTAAAATTTCTTCAGGAATGTTTTTATTATTATTATTATTATTATTATTATTATTATTATTATTATTATTATTATTATTATTATTATTGTTGTTGTTGTTGCTACTACTACTACGGTAATTACCAGATAAATTGCCATTCTTGCAGAAATGCTGTTTGAATTCTGACAGCTGAAACTGAAGTGAAAGTAGAAATTAGCTAAAATCATGACAGGTGATGTTTACATGATTACCCTAATTTCGCTTATGCTGTAAAGTGAAAGTGTAAAAAAAAAGGTATAAACATTTTAAGGAAAAGGATTGAAAGGAAAGAAAAAAAGAGAAAAAGAAAAGAGAAGACGACACACACACACTGACTAAAAATGCCATAACTACAACTACCGGGCATTTAAAGTTAGTCCCTGCCCACTTGGAGCCAATTCACGCCCACCTACTTCCGCACCATGGGTCCCCGGAAAAATGGGGCTAAAAACGCTATTTGAAACAGAGAAACTGTGAACTCAGAGAGGCAACTGACAAAAGCAACTTGTGTTCAAATCCAGGGGCAGGATGCTTGACAAGTCTTGGAGGTACACAGGAGGATGAGCCTGAAGAAGATGTGTGTGTGGAGGAGGAGGCCAGTGGTGTTCTGTCCTGGAGGAGGTACCAGCAAACCACCACTATTGTTAACAGGCAAGTCATTTATGTAGGAACCTCTATTAAAAAAACAACACTGTGGTTTTATTTGCTGAAGAGTTACAATAGCTATACTAGTTGATCATAAACCATCTCCTCATTTCATATTTCTGAATACATATTTGAGATGTAACAGCTGTCATCTGAGCCAGCCCAGCAGTCCCTGTAGATGGACGATGGGAGTGGACAGTGAGAGGAAGTGTCCCAAAGCTCTCTCTGCAGACCGTCCTGTATGATGATCCATCCTCTGACCAGAAACGTCCAGCCACAGGTCTGATCCTCCAGCAGCAGATCCAGCTACACTGTTAAAGACTTCCTGATCACTCAGTTTACATAAATGGTCCAGGAAGAATCACTCAGGTGCTGTAACCGTACATAACTGGTCCACATTTTTTTTTATCTGTAAATAATTGTCACATATTATAAATAATCTCATCTCCTTACCATTTTTTCATTTTCTCTTCATGTAACATGTTCAAAAACATCTATAAATAATAAAACTGGTGATAAAATGAATGATCAAATGAGTTATCAGTTAACACATTTGACTATCGCGGAATTGTATTTTGAAATGGGGGCCTTCAAACTTCTGCTCGAAATATTCTGCCCTTTGTTTAGTGGTGAGGACACTCGTTTCATATTGTTTCACCTGTTCCTGATGTGAAACCTTGAAAGGGTCATAATCTGCTGTCAAACTGTTGAGTAATGTATAAAATGTTGCCTTTGTGTCACCATGAGAGTCTTTCTCTGTAAGAAATGCCTGTTTAAAATGTTCTGCCTGTTGTTTTGCAGTGAGAACATTGGATTTTTCTGCAGCTAGCAGTTCCTTATGCAAAACCAGATGAGAATCATTTTCTGCGATCATATTTTCCATTATTTCATGACTTGTCCTTGTTTCTTCTTGAGTTTTTATCCTTTCATCAAGTTCCAGTTCATCCTCAGAAGAAGGATGTGAATATTTTACACCCACATCCTCAGATGAACCTTTATACGTTTCTTGTAAATTGCCGTTAATTTGTAGATTTTGTGGAGATCTGAACTTGCGTCGTGCTTTTCGGAGTTCTTCCTTCAGCTTTTCGACCTGTTTCTTCTCTTGATGTCTCAGAGATCTTTCTTTGTGTAGCAACTCGTTGAGTCTAATAATTTCTTGGGCTGTTTTTTGTGATCACACCTGGTGATGTGGGTTAGAGTATCTCAGTGTAATCAGATAAGTTAAATTTACTAAATTAGTAAAAAAAATATAACGATGGATATCTGTTGAATTAAACAGAACAATATAAGCGTTCTCTTTCTGAGATGTTTCACCTCTGAGTGAGTCCAGCAGAATGATGTGCTGTCAGTCCAAAGACTAAACAGAAATGTGTGAGGCTGCTGACGACATCATTAAGCTACAATACAAATACATTAACAACAGCTTTATTAATTGTGCAAAAATAATTCATTCATTCATTTTTGCACTATGAATTGACTTGCTGTTGTAGCATTTTATTGTTGCTTCATGATGTCATGCGTGATGCCACACATTTCTATTTAGTGCACCTGAGGGACCTGTTGCTGCTGCTGCTGTAAGTAGGGCCCTTATTGGTATTCATCTAGTATTTGATCTCTTTATTACTAGGGTTAGGGACGTCAATACAGCTCAAACTGCAGTGTGCACCCCACAAGTTATACATCAAAACGAGCGGCTCGGCCGTGGGAGGCGTCCTATTACCGTTTATAAGTGACTCGATTCAACACGGTGAAATTTTTAGCAATAAACATTGAAAAATTCCTCATTTTGGTTGTGCGCATGTTTCAATCTGGCTAGCCAGTAAAAATCCCAACATGTGCCACCTGCTCTTCTTCACTGGAAAAATATATACCGTAAATCCTCCAATACAGGACGGTATTCAATTAAAGGCCGGGTCTCCAATTTTGGCCGGTGTCGAAGTCGGCGGAGGTGAATAATGGCCGGTCTCTTATTGTGGCCGGGTGGAATGTGGTAACAAGCAAGTACGGGGGCGGTTGTGTCATCGTCTCACTTTTGATTTGCCAGTGATAGACCGCGAGGGTAACTTTAACCGTGCGGAGAGGCAGAGGAGGAGAAAATTTGATATCAAGTTCAAAGAGAACGTGCGCTGCAGAACACTTTTTAGCAATAGGGGTTGTATGAACTAGTCGACTTCACTATAGTGACTTTTTATGCCTGTCGTCGACTAGTCGCTGTCACGTGATAATGACCGGCAAGATGCAGTCCTCGGAAAAGACAGCAGCCTGCTGTCAGCGCTCGGGGGGACAACGCGCTGTGCCAGAGCGTCGATACTGACACGCGATCGTTCATGTCGGTTCATTTCCTTTAATGTTTTCTGTCTTTTATTTGTGCCTGATGTGTTTCGCTGCTGTGGAGCGGGGCACACCTTGTCCTCCGACGCACTGATCACTGATGCGGCCGCCAAGCAGGGAGCGCTCCGCTGTTTTTGCGGTCGGATCTGCCTCCTGAGCACGGCCACAGTAACAATCAGGTGTTGCCAAATTATTTAACACGCGATCGTTCATGTCGGTTCATTTCCTTTGATGTTTTCTGTCTTTTATTTGCGCCTGATGCGTTTCGCTGTGGAGCGGGGCGCATCACCTTGTCATCCGGTGAAGCACCGATCACTGATGCGGCCGGCAAGCAGCGAGCACTCTGCTGTTTTTGCGGTCGGTAGATCTTTTAGAACGGCAGTTCAAAGGTAACTCATAAGGTGAATATATATGAACCCAGGTAGCAGTTTCTCTTTAGGATTGAGAGGAGATGCAGGAAGATAATAAACAGGCAGGACAGAAAAATAGTCAAATAAAAACAAGTTAGTTTTTGTACCTGGTTGCAACAAACAGACACCACTGAAGGTAATCAGAAGTGAGGAAATGAAAATGAAATAATTATTTTAATGTTTAGAGCAGCAGGAACTCCGAGAGGCTGCAGGCGCATCAGTGAGTTTGCGGCCGCTGCGCAGGGGGAGGGGGGAGATGGCTGAAGCAGAAACTACTGTTGTTAAAAGAAATGTGTTTAACTTTGAAAATGTGGGCGCGATATTAATTGTCAAAAACTCCAGCGAACCATTGGTTCATTTTGCTCAAATAGAAATAGAGGCCTGCCTCTAATACTGGCCCTCCTTCCAATAAAGGCCTGGAGCTTGATGAGCTTGAGTCAAATACAGGCCCGGGTCTGTATTAGAGGATTTACGGTATATCTTTAGGAGCATGCATTTCCACAAATGTCACATCAAAATCATCGGCTCGTGGGAATAGTGGTATGTCATGATTTTAGAGTGATCTCCCATCACCAAAACCATCAGTATCATGGTTTTGGGTTTTTCACCCCAACGTCACCCAAATATGATGACTTTGGGGTAATGCACCAATTTTGGTTTGCTCACCCCAACATCAATCAAATATCAAGATTTTCAGTTGTTCACCCCAACGTTTACTTATTTTTATTTTTGGGTCAGTTTGAGTGAATGCAATTCAAAATTAGCATGATTATGAAATAAGTATGCGCACAATAATTTTTTTTATTTAGAATGGAAGGGCATGCAATTGCATGAAAATCTTGTGCCAGGTCCCTTTTCTAAGCAATGTGGTTTATCCTGGTGAAAGAATAATAATAATAATAATAATAATAATAATAATAATAATTATTATTATTATTATTATTATTGTTGTTGTTGTTGTTGTTATTATTATTATTAGTAGTAGTAGTAGTAGTAGTAGTAGTAGTAGTAGAAGAAGTAGTAGTGGTAGTAGTAGAAGTAGTAGTGGTAGTAGTAGTAGAAGTAGTAATAGTAGTAGTAGTAGTAGTAGTAGTAGTAGTAGTAGTAGTAGTAGTAGTAGTAATAGTAGTAGTAGTAGTAGAAGTGGTGATATCATCATCATCATTATTATTCATACTGGCTATAAACGTAGTAATTAGCATTGGCATTAAGAGGCCCATTTAAAAAAAACTTTTTGTGTCTGGGAGAATTTCGAGGACTTGACCGGTTATCATCTTTTTAAAGTATTTTGTATGTTGTACGATTTATTTATCAGTTTAAATACAACGCTTAACCAATAGAAAACATATCAGTGAAATGCCTCTAAAACTAATTTGTTCATTTAGATGTCATAAATTATTTTAGGAACTGTTCGTAAAAACAGTTTTTATCGATACGTTTTTTATATTTTTCTTTAGCAGGTTTGAGAATAACAATTACGTGAATGGGCAAAACCACTTCTAACCTGTAGGGGGCAGCAGGTCCACGGAGTGCTCATTTCTGTCACAAATGGCAACAACCTTAGCTTCCGGGTAGGAGTTTTCGAAGAACACAAGCTAGCCAGCTAGCCTTTTCATATTTTAGCTCAGGGAATCACAATAAAATTTGCTGCGAATCGGTAAGATATCAACCTGAACCTTTCTGTTTTTTTATTTTCCATGCATGCACGCTTATATGGAACTCCACGCGTTTTAAGAAATGCAGCAGGTCAGGGAGAACAAGATGCTAACTGTCCATCGCTAGTATGCTTTGTTTCATACATTCTAGATACGGGAACCTGCTAATGAGTTCCAGTTCTCGTTTCGGCTTTAGTATGGATGGAAGTGTCAATTGTAACAGCTTTTCTCAAGTGAATTGACCTGATCCAAAGTCTGTTTTTTGCTTTTTATTTCATTTCACTCTATTATGTAGCTAGCAGGCTAGCCTGTTAATCCATTCAACGATGTCAGCGAACTCCAAACGAAGACGAGCCACCTCTCCCTGCAGCAGTGTGAGCGGGGGAGACCACGACGATACCTCCTCTTCCACTCCTGGAAGTGGAAGAAAAAGAAGAAAGGTATCTAATGTCCCTCCAGTTGATACGGTAAATGTTCACCTTTATTTGCGAGGTTCTTTTTGAATGTTAACAATCTAAATGTGTGTGGGATTTGCAACTATTACCTTAAAAAAGCTTTAATCGTGATCTTTTACCACTTACTTTTTTAGATTGCTGTTTGCCACGAACTGTTTAATGCTGTCAAAGATTTCAAAGACGATCAAGGGAGGCAACTTTGTGAAGTTTTCCTTCGGGTTCCGAAGAGGAGGTATTGTAATATTAGGACCTAATAATAAACGGTACTGTTATATATAAACTTGTCATTCATGAAGAGAGTTGCTACTCAGCATGTTTATTTAAACATAGTCATGCCATTTGTTACCTTGTTGAAAGTAAAAAACTGAGCCAAATACTAACAATTTATACAATAATAATAACAGAAAATTGTACACATTGTAGTATTGTAATCCGGTTATTGCAGTGGGATGGGTTCGATGTAAATAAGGACCGTTACAGTAGCAGAATAAACATATATAAAATAATGTTGCAGTGCTGGTGGGTGGGGGTGGCAGCAGATAGGAAGGAACATGGACAGATGGCTTTTACAGCTCTGGGGAAGAAGCTTTCCTTCAACCTGGAGGTTGCAGTACTGATGTTCTTGTACTGTTTTCTGGATGGCAGTGGTACAAACAGTATATGACCTGGGTGAGGTGGATCAGCAGCAATGCAACTGGCCTTCCTTGCCAGTCTGACGGCGTGTATTGAGTCCAGATTTGGCAGCAGGCTCCCCATGATCCGCTGGTCCAGGCCAAGTCCTTCATGTTCTGGACAGTGTAGCTCCCATACCACATAATTATGTTAAGAGAGAGGATTATCTCAATCATGTGTAGAAGTACCAGAGCAGCTGGGGTGCTGCTCTCTTGAGTTTCACAAGAAATAAGATGTCTGGGCTGAGCACACAGCTCTGAGGAGCACCGGTATTCAGAACCAGCTCGGATGGAGTATGATTTTTAAGTCTCACCACCTGGGGATGGTTTGTGAGAAGTCCCTGGTCCAAAAGTAAAACGAGGTTGAGAAGCCCCAGTTTATTATCAGCTTGAATGATTGTGTTAAATGCTGAGCTGAAGTCCAAGAATGGCATCCTAAGTGATGAGGAGAAACACTGTTAATAGCATTAAAATAAGTTAAACAGATCCTAAACAATGTAAAACTGAGTTTAGAATCAGTGTTTGTTTTATATTACGACCCATGTTGATAAATGTGGGTGTCTCTATTTTTCAGGAACCAGCCTGATTATTATGATGTGGTCTCCCAGCCGATTGACATGACAAAAATCCAGTCCAAGCTGAAGTCAGAAGAATACACTGATGTGCAGCAGCTTACTGCAGATTTTCAGCTCATGTTTAATAATGCTCGATCCTTCTACAAGGTAAAGAGAAAAGAAACATTTGCTTGTATTAAATTGACCCTTCTGACTACACAAAGGTTCAGTGTTCCCAGTTAAATCAATAACTTATCGTTTTTCTGATTCTTACCAGACTTTAAAACTTTAAACAGAACAGCAGGAACCCAGAGCTGAACGAAGCCTGATTTATTTTAAATAAAATGTACATGACAATCTTTGTGATTTTATTATACTCAGGTTGGGTAAAACGAAGGGTATAGAACCAGGTCACTTCATCTTGATCCTGGAGGGCTGGTGTCCAGCATGTTTTAGTTGTTTCCCTGCTCCAACCTGCTTGATTCTGTAGTTGAATCACACGTTAAGCAGCTCATCAGGCTCTGCAGAAGCCTGTTAATCACATGCTGATTAAAATCAGGTGTGTTGAAGCAGGGACACCAGGGTTAAGGACCGCTGATGCCTGAAGGCGTTAGATGTGCACAGATGATTGTTTGACGTTGAGCGAGAAAATGTTGATTAGTAGTTTGTTGATGGTCAGCGAGTTGAGTGTTTGCAGCTCATAAATGCATTGATCCGTCATTGGTTGTGTTTAGAAAACTGTCAATAACTGCTGCTCATGTTTGTGTTAAACAATGTTGATGGTATGAAGTTTTATGATGGTGTTTAGTTTTGATGTCCAGATTCATTCGAATGTTCACGTCTCTTCACGTTTGATGATTCAGAGTGACGGCGAGGAGTATCATGCTGCACGAAAGCTGTGGGAAGTTTATCTGCAAACAAGGAACGAGTTTGTGCAGCCCGGAGAGGGAGACGAGGAAGACGAAGACGGTGATGATGGGATGGATAATCCAGGAACTGAATACGAGGTACTATGTTTGCATTTGTTGTTTTAAATCACAGAGCTTGAGATTTTAAAAGGTTTGTTTATGTGGAAATGTTTGCACATTTATCTTTCAGACATCAGCTAGCAGTCTGAAAGAAGTGCTGGAACAACTCTTGGAGGCTATCGTATCACACACCGACCCCTCAGGGCGACTCGTCAGCGAACTCTTCCAGAAACTGCCATCCAAAGTGGTGCGTAACAACTTTAAAATGACACACCGTGAAAAAGTAAACACACATCTGATTCAGATTTTAGTTAAATCGTGATTAATGGTGTAAAACACTGTTTTTATTTCACTGTAATTTGTTGCTTCCTGTGTGTTTTCCAGCATTACCCAGACTACTACGCCATTATTAAGGAGCCAATTGACCTGAGATCGATTGCTCACCGGATACAGGTAGTACTCAGCTCTCTTACTCTGTGATGTTTTGCATTTTTCTAAAAACAAAAGAAATTAGCCCAGAACCTGATGGATTCTTACACTAAACGTTATATTTATTTTTGACAGTCTGGATTCTATAAAACTGTTACTGCTATGGCCAAGGACATCGACCTGATGACCAAAAATGCCAAAACATACAACGAACCAGGATCTCAGGTTTTTAAGGTTGGAGTGTTTCTCTTTACCTTTTGTTACGGTGCAGCAATTCCCCTAAAGGTTACTTATTGTGTGTTTTTACCTCACAGGATGCTAACAGCATAAAGAAAGTTTTCATCCAACGAAAAACCGAGCTGGAACACGCCGAGCCGACTAAATCTAGCCTTCGTATCAGGTACGAACAAAAGAAGGGGCAGTTTTACTGTGTTTTTGTTAGGGATGTCCCGATCAGGTTTTTTTTGCCTCCAAGTCCGAGTCGTTTGATTTTGAGAATCTGCCGATACCGAGTCCCGATCCGATACTTTCGATGCTCTAAATTGTATCAACTATATAAATACTACATGCTGATAAATTATTGCTTCACACAGGTACAAACGTGTAGTGGGCTTAATCTACCTACATTTTATTTTTTTAAGAACTTTGTTTTGTTTTCTTGGTTTTTATTTTCCTATCGTCCTGTCCTGTCTGTCTCTGATCTTCCTGCATCTCCCAGTCCTCCAGAAAAACTCCTGCCTGCTTCCTTCTTCTTCACCTCACAAGTAACTTTTTAACTAGCAGATCAAATTGATCTATTGACCGCAAAAAAAGCCGGGTGTGCGCTGCCCGGCTGAGCCAGTGACGAGCGCGTCCACACGTCATGCTCAAATACAGACAGAACTTACCAGAGAGAAAATGAACGGACACGAATGACTGTGTGTTAATTATGTATTTTTGGTGACGCCACTTAGAAACTTAGAAAATGTTACTGTGGTCGTGTGCTGAACGCAGCTGGAGTTCATGAATAATCAGAGGTCTGCCTGCCGCTCTGCTCAAAAGAATCCCCGCTACGCTGAGTCCATATGAATGATATAGTATCGGTAGAAACTGGATCGTTTTTGTGCTCCTTCTGGGTGTGTAAGTTAAGGGCATCAGGGAAGCCTGACAACCTTTAAGGAGAACCACGTTGCTCTCCTGTAATTTGAACCCAGTATCCGAGTCCGGATCGGGGCTTGGATTGGGAAGTAAAGCCCGAGTCCCGATCGAGTCTGAAACCACGTGATCAGGGCCGATTTCCGATCATGTGATCGGATCGGGACATCCCTAGTTTTTGTCCAAACAAGGACTGTTGTAGATGTGGTTCGTGTTCCTCAGAAATCGGCGATCCGGACAGGATCGGATTTCTGGTGTCGGTGTCGCTGCTCAGTACGGTTCAGAGAGCGAGGATGACCCTGTGCTTTCAGGTACGTCTCTATTATCACAATAGTCTTTAAAAAAGGAGAAATCGTGCTCGTCTGCTAACAAATACGGGTTTCTTTAAATGTTTCCAGGGTCTGTTTGCTATGACGAGGGAGAGTCGGAGGCTGAGAGCCAGAGTTCAAGCATGGAGATGAGCAACCCAATCTTCCAGCTGTATGAAGCCGTGAGGGGTGCCAGAAACAGCCAGGGACAAGTCTTCTCTGAACCTTTTCAGCAGCTGCCATCTCGCCGAGAGTATCCTGATTACTATCAGCAGATCAAACAGCCCATTTCCCTGACACAAATCAGGTGACAGTAACACTTTGAAATTGCTTTAAAATGAGTTGTATTTAAAAAAAACCCAAAACTAAACCTCTCATCAAAGAGTTCAGACGTTTGAGATGCCTTTGTGACTTTCAGGGCAAGGATGAAGAGCGGCGAGTATGAAACCGTGGAGCAGATGGAGGCGGACCTATCAATGATGTTTGAGAATGCAAAGCGCTACAACATGCCCAACTCCAGCATCTACAAACGGGCCTTCAGGTTGCAGCAGATAATGCAGGCGAGGACAGGGAAACTTTTACTTTTTAAATATCTGCTGGAATATTTTGTTTTTGATTATTCAGTCTCTAAATTCTTTAAATGGTTTAGTTATTTTATGTTTTTTTTTTCTTTAAAGGTGAAGAAGAGGGAGCTTCTGAGGAGGGACGAAGACGATGGAGACAGCATTTTGTCGTCCGATGCGGGGAGTGTCAAGAAGAAAAGGTTTGAAGTGAAACCATGAAGCCTTTTTGTGTTGCTTATTTATTTATTTGTTTATTTATTTATTTATTTATTTATTTATTTATTATGTCCAGCCACAAGAAAAACGTAAAAAAGAATCGAATGAAAGCGCTCTTTGCTGCCGTGACTGATGCCAGGGAGGTGGGGTCCAGTCGGCGTCTCTGTGATCTTTTCATGGTGAAGCCATCCAAGAAGGACTACCCCGACTATTATAACGTCATCCTGGAGCCGATGGACCTTAAAACTATTGAGTACAACATTCGTAACGAACGCTACGCTACAGAAGAGGCGCTCATGGACGACATGAAGCGGATGTTCCGAAATGCCCGGCATTACAACGAGGAGGGGTCTCAGGTCGGCAGCGGGACTTTTATTTTGTGAAAAAAAATGAACGAAAAGAATTTCAAAAGAAGTCCATGTGACACCCGGCTTTTGTTTCTGCAGGTTTATAATGACGCAGATGTTTTGGAGAAGATTTTAAAAGACAAGCGTAAGGAGTTGGGACCTCCACCGGAGGAGGAGGACGTGGGATCACCAAAACCGAAAATCCGTAAGTGTTACTGGTGTAGTGAGTTTACTCAAGTCTGGATGTTTGTTTTAAATAATTAGAATGTTATTTCCTGTTTAACTGTAGCAAACTAACAAATAAAAGGTTTTGTAAATCTGAAACCACGTTACGCGCACACGTTGCATAGCTTTTATGTAACTGTTAAAAATGGTTTGTCTGAAATCTGTTTTTTTTTAATTCTGTCTCTTTTTAGGAAAAAGTGGCGTTTCTCCAAAGAAGTCCAAATACCTAACTCCTCTCCAGCAGAAGTTAAACGAGCTCTACGATGCCGTGCGAAACTTCACCGACAGCCGAGGTCGGCGCTTGAGCACGATCTTTCTCCGTCTGCCCTCTCGCGCCGAGCTGCCCGACTACTACGCCACCATCAAGCGACCAATCGAAATGGATCGCGTGCGAAGCCATTTGGCGGCAGGCCGGTACCAAGACGTGGACGCTTTGGTGGAGGACTTTGCCCTCATGTTCCACAATGCCTGCGTCTACAACGAGCCTGAGTCTCTGATCTATCGGGATGCTCTGGTGTTACACCGAGTGCTGCTGGAGACACGGAAGCAGCAGGAGCGAGGAGAGGATTCGGGTCCTCCCGCTGTGGGACTCCTGGTGCGAGAGCTCATCAGGAATCTGTTTGTGTCCATGATGGGTCACCAGGACGAGGAGGGTCGCTGCTACAGTGACTCGCTGGCTGAAGTCCCAGCTGTGGATCCAGCTGCCCCCGAAAAGCCGCCTCTCAACTTCGATATAATCAGGATGAACGTGGAGCGAGGACGCTACAGGAGACTGGACGTCTTCCAGGAGCACGTGTTTGAGATGCTGGAGAAAGCAAGAAGGCTGCACCGGTAGGAAAGCTCATCTGAGAAGCTCTTTATTCAGTAAAGACAGAAACACAAAACTTAGGGAATGGAAAACAGATTTTACACAGGATAGATGGAATAGCTATAAACTGTAGTACCTTACCACAATCGGTCTTATTTTCACTAGAGCGAGTGAAGCTTGGCTCACACACAGGAAGATCCAAACTCAGCCTTTAGTGTCGTTTCGCTGATAGGATCCAGAAAACGGTTACCAAACTTTTATAGTGCATTAATTATAACAAAATCCTTTAGTTGATGTATTCCAGCTTGTTTATCTACGTTTTTGGTCATAGGATCTAAAGGTAGACCGATAGAATCGGCTTTACATCGGCCTGATATATCAGGCACATCTTCGGGCAGCCCGATGCTGCTACAGCATTTAATTTAAATGCAGTTGTATGTTCACTAATAACATCTGGATAATAAATACTGACAGTGCACAAAGTTAAAGAGACGATATGTAGTTTTTATCATTAATCTCTGGAAATGTACGTCAAAATGTTGGAAAATACTGGCAGCTTTGTTACACGTAACCATAAAAACTGGGTCTTAAATACACGGGAGCGGGTCTAAGTCTCTGAGCGACGCCAAATTAGACGCCAAAATAAGGTAGCGACCTCTAATAGGATCTGCAGGCAGACGTGGTGATTGCGTAAGTCTTCGACATAATCACATACTTTATGTATTTACCAGATCAGCTTGGAAAAACGTAACTCTTGCAAAGCGAGCCGGTGAAACGTGCCTCTGTGTCTTCTCTGGGCTCGCAGGACCGACTCCGAGGTGTTTGACGATGCTGTGGAGCTTCAGCAGTTTTTCATCAAGATCAGAGACGAGCTTTGTAAGAACGGAGAGATTTTGCTCTCCTCCGCGCTCAACTACACCGTCAAGCACCTGCACAGCGACGTGGATCAGGAGAAGAGGGAGAAAATTCCCAGAGAGATCGAGGAGGATAAGAAGAATTTAGAGGAGGAGAAGAAAGGTTTGGAAAACATTTGGCACAAAACGTTGGGTGTGGAGAGTGTCGCACGTGTCGCTGAACTTTCACGTTCCTCACTTTTAGAAGAGAAGAAAGCAGAGGAGTTGCCAGAAGAGGAGTGTCAGCCTGAGTCTGAGTCTCAGCGTGTCTACGTGCAGGTCTGCAGCTTTGAAAACGTCACCTACCACATAGGAGACTTCGTTTATGTGGAGCCGTCGGAGCCCAACCTGAAGCCTCACATTGTTTGTATCGAGCGTCTGTGGGAGAACGAAGCGGGTAACCGAGCCTTTACCTGTTAACTGTTTGTTTCTCTCTTATAAATCTGTGTCTTAAGCTTTGTATAAAATCACTTTTTGTGTGTGTCTGAAGGTGAGAAGTGGCTCTATGGCTGCTGGTTCTACAGGCCCAGTGAAACTTTTCACCTGGCCACTCGCAAGTTTCTGGAGAAGGAGGTGTTCAAGAGCGACTACTACAACAAAGTGTCCTTCAGTAAAGTTCTGGGCAGATGTGTTGTGGTTTTTGTGAAGGCAAGACTCTCCTTTAAACTCAACGCCCGACGTAAGTGACTTGTTTTCTGTAGACACGAGAATTCGAACCTCTTTCTGGTTTCTGTAGGATTATTTCAGAATGCAGCCTGAAGGTTTTAAAGCCGAGGACGTGTTCATGTGCGAGTCACGCTACACGGCCAGAAATAAGATCTTCAAGAAGATCAAGATCTGGGCCATGCCTGAGAGTTCAGCGCAGATGGTTCCGCGAGAGGTTCCCCTTCCAGTGGTCCGTGTTGCTTCCATGTTTGCCAAACCGGACCTGGAAAAGTTGATGCTTTCATTCTCGGATGGTGGCAGTTTTGTGGACAAGGTGAGGTGACGTTACATAATAGTTGGTCTGTTTAATGTTTACAGAAATGGATTAATCGACCTTTTGTCTTTGTTTACTTGTATTTATCCAATAGGAATCAAGCTTAAGCTACTTTTACTTTCAATGAAGTCTTGAAGATAATAAAAAATATTTTTTTGTTTGTTGGATTATACCAGACGTCACAAATAAACTACTATCAGAGGTGCAGCAGGAGATGTTCTTCTGGAGCATCTTTAGCCATATTGTTTGAAATGCTCCACACACCAATGCCGACTAATAATCTAAACGTTTTGTCAAAAAATGAATCATTTTAATTTACCCTGAAGGGTACGGTCCTGGAAAATCCTCATCCAATCATTGTTCTTCATGATTTGATCGTGGTCTTTCCATCAAGCTGCTCCTCTGAGGTTTTCCCAGACTGTCTGTGGCGCTGAGCTGCTGTGATTTTACAGTTAAAAACAAACAAGATTGCTAAAAATTCCTTTTTTTTTTTGCCCAACACTAACTTAGCTAGCGTACGTAGTCGTATATGGTTATGTAGGTGTGTTATGCTACGAATTAAGGCAGAAAATGGACCAACTGAACCTTATGCCTTCTTTTCTTCTGGAGGCGTGGCCGATGGGAGAAAGGGGGTTGGACCTCAGAGTTGTGTTAATTCAAAGAGCAGCTTGCACAAATAGCCAGAAAAGTATCTGGTGATGCACCTTAAACTCCACAAGTCCTGCAAAACTGGACTGCTAGACTAACAGTTGCAATCCTTAGAGGTTTATCGCTCAAGACAAATGGTGTCACTTTGCCATTACTACGGGGTATTAATTAAATGATCATCTGGTAGAATACAAGTCCTGACAGAGCTGAGTGGCACGTTTCGAGGGTATCTAAATGTAAACACTCCTCCTGTGTGGTGATGTGAATTCGTTTAGGAGAAGGAAGACGTCCCGATGGAGACGAGCGGGTCAGAACCTGGCTGCCAGCACTATGAACAGCTGCGCTTCAACAGCTCCTGGTTTAAAGTGGGCGACTTCGTTTACATCCGGTCCCACGGCCTGTCCAAACCTCGGGTTGCCAGGTGGGTTAGGAGGACTTAATAAAACGGTGCTGGTGCTGTTTTGGGTTTGATCGTCCTCTGGTTGCTCTGCAGGATGGAGAAGCTGTGGGTCCAGAATGGAGCCACCTTCTTCTTTGGACCCATTTTCATTCACCCTGAAGAAACGGAGCACGAACCCACAAAGATGTTCTACAAGAAAGAAGTGTTTCTGAGTCAGCTGGAGGAGACCTTGCCCCTGACCTGTGTCATAGGTATTACTAAATCGTTCTCTTTAATTAAATAATGACATTTGTGTGTGTGTGTGTGTGTTTGTGTGTGTGTGTGTGTGTGTGTGTGTGTGTGTGTGTGTGTGTGTGTGTGTGTGTGTGTGTGTGTGTGTGTGTGTGTGTGTGTGTGTGTGTGTGTGTGTGTGTGTTGGGAACCTTTTGATGGCTTAGTATATTAAAACCAGCATTAAATGTTGCATAAGGTTAAGAAGTGGTCTGACATTTAAAGCTAATTAAAGGGAGTTTTCTCAGATGTGAAACGATCTCTGTAGGGTGCCGCTTCTCAGATTCAGTTAAAATGACAGATTTTATCCTTTCAACAGTTTAATTAAGCTCAATTCTGCCCACAGGCAAATGTGTGGTCTCCTCTTTTAAGGACTACCTGTCCTGCAGACCAACCGAGTTTTCTGAGGATGACGTCCTGCTGTGTGAGAGTCGTTACATCGAAGCCGAGAAGCAAATGAAAAAGTTCAAGGGCCTGAAACGCTTCTCGTATTCCTCCAAAGTGGTGGAAGATGAGATCTATTACTTCAGGTGTGAACGGGATTATTTTGACGAAAAACGGAATCTTTTCCCTCCCCATCCTGGTTTGTCTTTACTTTTGTTTGGGTGCGATTTGTAGGAAATTAATTGTGCCGCAAAAGGAGGCGTCACCCATTTTGGACAAGAAGATAGACGAGCTCGAGGTTAAGCTGGCAGACCTGGAGGATGGCGATGATGACATGGAAGAAATGGAGGATGACGAGGAAGCTCCATCCACACCTTCTTTGCCTCAGGTGCAAACTCCTCTCTCCAACGACATGGACGCGATGTCCTACACGCCTTCTCAGGTATCGGAGACCAACTGAAATCTTGTTTTTAACGGTTCCACACAGCTACTGCTTCTGTTATAATCTATACGACGTGTGTGTTTTGTCACTCGTGAAGTCCACCCCTAAGATGAAGGGTTTAGCTAAGAAGGAAGGAGCCAAGCGGAAGATCAACATGAGCGGGTATATCCTGTTCAGCAGCGAGATGCGAGCTGTCATCAAAGCTCGACACCCCGACTTCTCCTTTGGGGAGCTGAGTCGACTCGTAGGAACGGAGTGGAGAAACCTCGAGGCTTCCAAAAAAGCGGATTACGAAGGTGACTTGAAGTCATTCAACGACTAAATTCAATTTTTTTGTGTGAATTTAAGCGAAGTGATTTTTTGCGTTTCAGAGCGCGCAGCCCGAATAGTGGAACAGTCGGAGCGCGAGAGGCCGTTCTTCAAGCACGGTTCCCCCAGAGCAGGTACCCCCGTAGGGGCGCTGATGGGGGTGGTGCCTTTGCCTAGCACTATGGGAATGATAAACCACACACCTGTGTCAGGTAACCCCTCAGAGAGACATAACCAGTGTTTGACTACAAGACAGCAGGGAAGTGAAGCTGGACTAGAACCATAATCCTTTCATTTTCTAACCTGTTTAAACTTTTAAACCACTTCTTTTCTTCTGTTGATGCCATTTACGTTTTAATTATTGTCTTTACATAAACTGCACGGTTGCATGATTCATATTTTTTTAACCATGAATGCATTTTGTTTTAAGTTTCCATTTAATATTTTGGAGTTTTTTCTTTTTTACACTCATATGTTTTTCAACCATTTGCATCATCGACCCCTTTTCACACACTGAACCATGAATCTTGCTAGAACAAATGAGTCCAAGTCAAGTTTCCATTTATTCAAAGTGACAATGTGTAGTTTTTACGTTAATCTTTGGAAATATCCATCAGAATTTTGTTGAAATTTGAATTAAATGGTGCCCAGTTGTTGAAAAATATTGGTAGCTTCGTAACATAACCATAAAATTACATGGGAGCAGGTCTAAGGCCTGGAATAAACTTGCTGTTTAACCTCGCGTTGGCGCAGGCAGCGTTTTTGTTCACATACTTGCTGCTACACGACACTGCATGTAGTACTGGAGTGTTCCACCAGGGGCTCACTAGAGAACTCAGACCAGATAGAGAGCCGGGTTTGTGGGTACAACAAAACAAACGTGGCGTCAATAAAAGAGCTCACTAACTGGTTGCTATGATGAAAGAGAGTCTGATGTGCTTGTCGTCTTGCTGGAGGTTACGCTAATACGCTCCCAGGAATGTTTTACCCTAATGGCCATCTGCCGGTAAGGATTTACTGGAACACAACAATACTGCTTGCTTGCAATGATTTATGTATGTACTGCCCCCTTTTGCCAGGGAAAATATGCATCGTCATTTGAACTTGGTTCTTTCTGGAGAAAGCATAAACAGTGTTCTTTTTACCTGTAATATGTTTTAACCAAGTACTGTTTTTCATTCTGACAGAAATTGGAGAATATGAATTTAGTATCTTATTAGTTATAATTTTATAGTATTTTATCTAGCGCCTCTCGGGAAAAAAGTCACGAGGCGCTTCACAAAACAAAAAAATACAAATATAAATTTTTTTTAAATATCTTTAAAATGACTAAAAATAAAAGTTGTGATAAAAAATGTAAGGAAAGGGAGAGAGAAAATGAATAGGAAAGAGGGAGATCGGCACCAGAATGAACGGGACAAATAAATAAAACCTATTAAAACATGAATTATTTGAAATGCAGATTTTGAGTCCTTTGAGGTCAGTGTGTGATAAGGGTCGCTGTGTGTCTTAGTGCATGTTGTCTAGAGTCATCTGCATGGGACTTATGCATGGATATGTTGTGCTCTCCTTGCCCTCTTCCCAAAGGCATGATGGGAGCTTACGGCCCACCTTACATGCCCATGCAGGGCCCTCATGAGGGTTTGCTGAGCGTGGCACCAATGCCACCTCACTCTGGGGGGGTTCCTCACCTGCCTCCTCACCATCTCCAGCAAGGTATGCCCGGATACCCTGGCATGCCCCATCAGGGTAAGGGCCCACTGTCCCAGCCACACTTGCTCAGTCACATGCAGTCGTGTCTCTCCGGCTGTGGAGGGGTTTACCTGGTCCACAGGCTGCATAGCCTGAGCTACACACCGAACTGTCGAAGCTCGCTGGTCTTGCCCATCCAGATCTACATTCACATAGTTATGCATGACAAACTGATACCAGATGACTAACATTTAGCTAATTTTCATGCATTAACTTTCTCAGAGGCTGTGTTGAAAACATGAAGCAAACTATAAATTAGGTAAATTCCTTTTCCTCATTTGTCAGAGTAAATCTTGTGTTTAAACAGGTATGATGGGCGCTGGTGCAAATGGGATGGCAGGAAGTCCTGGACAAGGAAATTTTATGCAACAGGTGTTTTTTTTTTTTTTTTTTTTGTTAATACAGAGCAGTTGAAACCATGTTGTAAATAAAAGCTAGACTGACTGAAATGAACAGTGCGGGTTTACCACAATTGCTTTATTTTATTTTAGCCTGGGGTGTTTAGTCCAGGACAGCACGCTCCTCCACCATATCCCGGACAGGGCCAGCCATCTCATCTGCAGCCCACCACTCCCATGTTTGTTGGACCACCACCAAAGACCCAGAGGGTGCTCCACTCAGAAGCCTACCTGAAGTACATTGAGGGCTTAAATTCAGAATCAAGCACTGTCAGCAAGTGGGACCAAATGCTAAAAGGTGATGCTTTTCCCCTCACTCCCAAATCAGTTTGCTTCTCTGTGCGTTGATGCAAAATCAACATTTTTGTTGTTGTTGTTTACTGATAACTTTTATCCATAACAGCTCAAAGACGAGATGCTCACTTTACCAAAGAGCAGGAGAGTCGCCTTCCAGCACACTGGTTGAAGAGCAAAGGAGCTCACACAACAATGGTGGATGCGTTGTGGCGTTTACGGGACTTGATGCTGAGAGACTCACTGAATATTTGTCAGGCTTACAACCTGTAACCTTCCAAACAGAACCACTAACCTCAGTAACTACTCTTATCCTCAGTTTGTGGAGTTTTCAAATGGTAGAAAGCAATATTTTATAGTGGGTCACAACCATTTTATATTTATTAGCTAAAAAAGTGAACTTGATAGTGATTTGTGTGCATTTTTATACCGTCTTAAATCATAGTTCTGCTAAAACCTGTGATTTTATTTTATTGTCTTATTGATGCAACCAGAATAAAAAGCTGCAAACCTCATGTTTGTTTCATTTTTTATGTAGCTTCTTGCCTTTTTGGATTTTATTTTTGAAGTACTTCCGGCTTGATGACGCCATTTCCGTGAGACGATCAAGACCGTGCCATTCTCTTTAGTGTTTGCCGTGTCCTCCCAATGTTCGCCTCCTTGCCTCCCGCATTTTGAATACAAATTAACAGACACTGACTCTTGAAGCTGAACGTAAAACCAAACAAACCCCATTAAGCCATATTTTATTATGGATTAACAAAAAAAAAACGAAGAAAAGTAGCGAAGAGGTGAGGCTTGCTTTGTGCACTGTCGGCTTTAGCTAGCTGCTAAGCTAATTTGTCAACACCGGCTGCTTTCTGGTTCGTTGGCCAAATAACCTGAAACATGTCCTTGACCAGACTAAAAAAATATTGTAAGACTTTACTGATGTTTAGTTGTAAGCTAAGTGTTTTTGGTAAGTTTTTTACCTAACGATTCTAAAAGTGATATCAGGTTGCTACACCGGTGCCTTTGCGGTGAGCTGACCGGTTTGCTAACATGCTCCTTCGGAGTAGCCTTTATTAACTCCTCGCGGCCTTATTTAGAAATGGATCATGTTCTGACAATAATGTATGTATATATGTTTTAAATATTTGTAAAGACGAGTTATGGGCTGTATAATGCATTGACATGTTTTTTGCAAGTGTTTTTGGTCCATTCTCTGCATCGGCTAACCTGCCAGTAATCTTGTTTTTAACATAAATGTAGCATTAAGATAACCTTTTAGCAACAAAAAGCATGCTATTAAGTTCCGCAGTTTGTTGCGTGCGACCGGTGGTCCATGGGAAATGAGAGGTGGTTCAGTTAGAGGCTTTAGAGGCTCATCCTTTCCAGCCAAACTGATGTGATGGAGAAACGTGAATATCAGAACAAGCAGACGCTGCTGAAATCTGATTTTCAATCTTTGTCCTTTGTTTTGCAATGGATCAAGATCCAATCATGAAAAATAACAAAACGGATGAAAAATATTTACAGTTCATCACCCAGGCAGGATGGGTGTCAAGTTAAAGCATGAAAAACATGCCATCAGTGCAATAATCCAGTATTACTGAATAACATGTTTGCTGCTGCGTAAAGGCTTTTTGCACATTATTTAATCCGGTAAAGATTAAATTTAATGTATGTATTTTTATATCTACCTTTTCTTATATCATGTTTATTTTATTGTTTGCGCCACTTGAGTGCCACCCAGTTTCAAGTATTCACATGCAATGCCACTAAAACCTTCTGATTTCTAAACAGGGGGTCTCCCTCCTGAAGCTAGGGAGGAGCCCCTTGAGCTCTGGTTCTTGGCCTGGGCTTTGGGTCTGATTGTGGCCTGGCTCATGCACCATGGTCAGATACTGGGGGTGCTGCCGTCCCTTCTGGAGCCAAGAAGGAGACCCATGAGCTCTGGTTCTCAGCTTGGGCTGTAGGTCTGAGTATGGCCCGGCTCATGCAACATGGTTGGAGTTAAACAAATATTATATCACAATGACAAAGGAGCATTTTTGACATAACATTTATAAGTTATCTTTGAAGAGGTTCTTTAAACGAATAAACAGTTTATTTTAAAAAATTAAACAGCCATGGGCACCAAGTAAACATTTGGTGTATCTCATTGTCATGTGTCAGCCTCAACGTATCTCTTCAGTAAGTGAAAAGAAATAAATGATAAAGAAAAATGTGGACACCTGCTAGAAAGAGTGCTACTTTTGCAATATATGCATTTTTAATTACATAAATTGATGTACTGTTGAGAGATTTGCAATAACTACAGGCACTGATTTAATGATATTAATGGTCAAATTAGCTACATTTAATCCAGGGCGGTTTTTAGAACCAACATAAATATATAAACCTCACAATGAAGCTAATAACTGCAATAAATTGCAATCATCTCTCTTGTAACAAAACCATGCTAATTTTCTAACCAAGAATCGTTTGAAAATGCAAATTATTTGGTAAAATACATTTGTTATAATATCATATTTCTTTCTCAGACTCTTCTCCAGGCCAAGCTTTTATCCTGACCTCTTCAGTCCTCGGTCACTCCCACACTGTAAATCACTAATCTTGACTTCAACCTTCAACAATACAAGAGCAATGAGGATGTCTCAGCTTCAGTTTCAGTGTCCTGTTAGTTCCATGCCTGCTGCTTCTGCCCCCCTTCAGCTGGGACAGCCGCAGCCTGGCTACAGCATCCCCTGTGCTACGGGCGCCCTACCATCGGAGAGTGCCAGTCAGCCCATCAGGAGCTCCGCCCTCCCTGCGGGCTCTGCCACTCCTTATAATACCACCACAGGTACTTTCTTTTTGAAATAGTTTGGGTTTCTTTCCTTCACCATCTAGATCTGGGTTGACTCCAGAAGCTGTGGCTGTCTGCATCTTTCTTTAATGGTGTTTATTATTTTGTTTCAGTAAACATGGCAAACCCTAAAGAGAAGACCCCCATGTGCTTGGTGAATGAGTTAGCTCGTTTCAACAAGCTCCAACCTGAATATAAGCTGCTTTCTGAGCAAGGGCCAGCACACTCCAAGGTACAGCGGGTGTGAAGTCTCACACGTCCAACCCGTTGTCCTGTCGGGTTTACAGTAATGATAGAAGGTCTGTTTCAGATTTTCTCAGTGAGGTTGACGCTGGGAGATCAACACTGGGAGGCGGAGGGGACCAGTATCAAGAAAGCCCAGCATTCCGCTGCTGCTTCTGCTCTTACTGAGACAACTCTTCCCAAACCCACCATGAGGATGCCGCGTAACACAGGCAGGAACCCACATGGGCTTCTCCCGCTGGTTCTGTTTTCTCATTATAATTAACATTTTACGATCGGAGAGTTGATGTGTTACATTTTGTATTTTCTTGTGTCCCCTGCAGCTGATGGCATCACACACACCATGGAGCTGAATGCACTTTGCATAAAGCTCGGTAAAAAACCCATCTATAAACCCATCGACCCGTATCCCGGGATGAGACCGCCGAACTTCAACTACAACGTTCGTGCTCCGCCTTACCAGCGCTCTATGCAACAGTCAGTTTACACCAATTTAAAAAATCATATTTCCTCTGTTTAGCCTCTGATTTTCAAGAGTGGAACAACTTTCCTTATCTTTCCAGGTACTACTATCCATTTACCCCGGTAGGACCGATGATTTATCACATGGAGCTCTCCATCGGGGGTCAGCAGTACGTTGGAAAGGGGCGTACACGGCAGATGGCCAAACACGATGCTGCTGCCAAAGCGCTGAAAGTCCTGCAGAAGGAGCCCATGCTGCAGCAGTGTCCAGAGGTGGGAAGAGTAGCCATCACCAGACAGCTTAAATACTGTTTTGTTAATATTTCACATTGTTTTATTTTTAAATGTGTAACAGGTGAATGGAGAATCCGAGGATGAGAACCTAAACAAATCAGAAATTAGCCAAGTTTTTGAAATTGCCCTCAAACGAAACTTACCTGTCATCTTTGAGGTTTGGATGTTTGCTAACATCAGAAGTCTTAAGATGAATGTTCAAGTTGCGACTGTAACAAAAAGAGTTTGTTTTTATTTTTCATTCCAGGTTTTAAAAGAGGAGGGCCCTCCACACATGAAGAATTTTGTCGTGAGCGTTTCAGTCGGAGAGTTCTCGGGAAACGGCGAGGGGAAGAGTAAAAAGATCGCCAAGAAGCTGGCGGCAGCGGCGGTGCTGTGTGAGCTGAAGAGGCTCCCCCACATACCGAGTGTGGAAAGGAAGCTGCCACGCATCAAAAAGAAAACCAAATCTATCATCAAGGTAATGTTGCTCCGGAATCCGAGGTGGGATTAGTCAGATCAGACCCAAAGAGCCTTCATTAAGTTATGATTTACTCATTATGTCCACAGCTGCAGACCAGCCCCGAGTATGGCCAGGGGATGAATCCCATCAGCCGCCTGGCTCAGATCCAGCAGGCCAAGAAGGAGAAGGAGCCTGAGTACACTCTGGTTACAGAGAGAGGTCTGCCACGGCGCCGGGAGTTTGTCATGCAGGTGAGTCAGCTGCAGTTCAGGCACGCTGGCAACAAAGTGTAGTAGTTTTCTACTGTTTTCACACGTCTTTTACTCGTTTCTGCTCCAGGTGACTGTGTGTGGCCAGTCTGCAGAGGGAATGGGACCGAGTAAGAAGGTGGCCAAGAGGAACGCAGCTGAGAAAATGCTGGAACTCTTGGGATACAAAGTGCCTCAGCCTCAGCCTCCCAAACCGGCTCTGAAAACGGAAGAAAAGGTGAAAAGCTGAAGCCAGTAACTCCCAGTGCAGACAACATTTACAAAGAGTTTCCACAATGTTTGCAAGGCTTTTTCAGATACCAGCTCTTGTGAAATGAATGTTTGAAGTTTGATCATGCAGGGTGTGTGGAACCTCCTTTTGCTTTGGGAGGGGTTGGTGTCCTATGAAACTAAGTTGTGACTGAATGGAGACAAAAACAAAGACAATCCGACATTTCAGGAACAATAATAAACAATTTAAACAAACAGTTAATTAGTAAGTTTTGATAACATTTCAGCCAGAAAATGTGCGCTAACGGCACAATTTATCCACAGTTTCAACTAAAACTGCATTTTTTTTCCTACAATTGTCAGCAGCCACATCCCAGCGAGATGCTGCTCTCAATTCTTACCAACAAAGTCAAGTTAATTACACAGAAACTCTAAATGTTCATGCAAACCGTGTCCGTGTAACTTTTGTTTTAATAGACCCCCGTGAAAAAACCTGGCGATGGGCGTAAAGTGACCTTCTTTGTGGAGGAGGTGGCGTTAGGTGAGTTTCAGCTGAGACGTCTGTATGATTGGAGCGAAACAAATCTGCTCTTACCAGTGCTGTTCTGTTAGCTCCTAAAGAGGAGGATTTCCGCCTGCCTTACCTCAGCCACCAGCAGCTGCCTGCGGGCATCCTGCCCATGGTGCCTGAGGTGGCCCAGGCAGTTGGAGCCTGCCAGGGACCCCAGGTCAAGGACTACAGCCGAGTTGTGCCCAACCCGGGCAAGGCCACCATCACTGCCATGATTGCCAACGAGCTGCTTTATGCTGGAGTGTCATCGACTGCTGAGACTATCCTAAAGAACAAAAACAGCCTGAGCCAGCTGCCCCACGGCCCCCTCACGAGGCCGTCGGAGCAGCTCGGCTACCTGGCGTCCGTGCAGGGCCTGCTGGTAAGAACCATTGATGAACGCGTGAGCTCACGTTTGGTCAAGCTTAGTGACACCTGCCATTTGCTTTGCAGGTGGAATACAAAGACTTCCCCAAAAACAACAAGAATGAGTTTGTGTCGCTGATTAACTGTTCCTCCCAGCCTCCTCTCATCAGTCACGGGATTGGGAAAGACGTAGAATCCTGTCATGATAAGGTTAGTAACTCCCACAATGCATCAGTATAATCCCACACACTCAGGAGCAACGGTAAGAGCGACGCTTTCAGAAAAAGAAGATGCTTTTACTTTGATATTAAGAATTAAAGATCACAAGGTAACAGATTAGTTTATGTTGTCTCAAAATAAAAAGATTGTTTTCATGTAGTAAAAGTTTATTTTAAACGTCTTCAGCAGTGCAGTGTGCGCAGACGGAAACGTGATGATGAGGTTATTTGATCTGAAAATGTCAGAGAGGATCTGCTCTCTGTGATTAGGTTTGTTTGAACAGCTGCAGCAGAGGAGTGGGAGTTGAAAACGAGATGCATTTATTGTAATAGCTGAACTGTAGTGACCTAGAAAGTACAACCATTCTTCGGTTATGGATCCTCCTGTCATCAACGCGAAAGGTCAGGCGGATTTTCTTAGTTTTTTAAAGCTAAGCAGTTTTATCTCACAGCCAAGAAGGTTAAATAATAAACAAAAAGCTGAATAAATGTAAAACAAGGTGACTTTAAAAGGATTAAAACATGAATTCTCTATTTTTGAGCCATGCTAATACTAAAGAAAAAGACACGCCGCAGCAGAAACAAATCTTCAGAAGTTCTAGTTTCTGAAACACCCACACTTTTTCTAAAAGCGTTGTGTTTTCCTGTTTATGTGGACTGCCAGAATAATAAACAATGTTTTTAACCTTCACAGGCTGCACTGAATATATTAAAGATACTCGCTGAGTTGGACCAGCAGCCAAATGAAAGGACAGAAAATGGACCAGCCTCGGGGTAAGCTGTGAGGATTGGCTGAGCTGACCTTTTGTTTTTCATAAAATGTTTCGTCTTGCTAATATTTGAACTCGCCCAGAAGCTCCTGTCAGTGGAACAGAGTCAGATATTTTAACTGTGTCAAGAAGTTTGTCAGTCAGGACTGTGAATGTCTTACTTGTTTGGGGTTTTAAACTGTTGAAAAGTTATTTTTCTTGAGTGAAATTATAAAAACTGAATCATTATGAAGGCCGTTTACACACGGAGCCGAGGTTTCATAAAACAAACCACCCCCACCCCCCCGTGCGCGCGCGCGCGCTCACGCCACCTCGTGCAACCCAGTGCATTGTAAGGCCATGCATGCTAAGCTGGTTGGTGGCAGTAGTTCCCCAAATCTCCTGCGTCTTTGCCAAAAAATTTTCCTTGCAGCGGAAATTTTGTTGACGATATAATATATATATATATATATATATATATATATATATATATTAAAAAAAAATATATATATATAATGTCGTCAACAATATATATATATATATATATATATATATATATATATATATATATATTTACGACAAATACATTTTTGCGGACTAAAACAAAACAAATAAATTAATGTGCACATCTATGAAGACTGAATTATAACGGATGTTGTTTGATATTTTCGTCAGTGAATAAAAGACGACAGTGTAGACTGACAATAACGAATATTGAATCAGAAAATGAAGAATATTTGGAAATTTGAATAAAAGAACCGGTCAGCAAATGAAGCAGACAGGAATAGACGAGGAAAGAGCCAATCAGAGTTCGGACTGGAGCCGGCCGCTGTTACAACAAGTTGCCGGTAACGGTTGAACAATTTGTGTCTAAAAGCAGAAAATGCCCACAGCCGGGAGGAAAATCTTTAAATGTGACAATCTGAATAATGTTTGCTTGGTGAGTTCCCATCTGGGGTTTCCCCTGGTTCTTAAAGGGTTAGGGTGGTGGCAGCAGGCGGGGCTGGGTGAGGCCAGGAGTGGATTTCTGCTGCCGGTGCTGAGCTGTTGCCAAACCAAACTCACGGAGCTGCACACCTAGCAGAGCTGCTACGCCCGATAAGCATTCGTTGTTCTAGCATTTTTTTTTGTGAGGGAGGGGGAAAAACATTCATGCGGCCTACCTTGGTAAATGAGTGCATGGAAACTAATAAACACGCCTGAAAACAATTTTTTACCTTTTAGTTTACCTCCTCGCGTTATTAGGAAAACACCTTTTATTGTTATATGGTATTATGTCATATCATGTTTAGAAATATTACTTATACATTATACATTATATAGATTTGTTTATTAATACTGGGAGACACAATTCTAAACAGTCAGATTTCATTTTGGTATTTTCCATGATTTATTATTATTTAAAACATTTATAAAACAGTTTTATTGATCCAAAGTGTGAAATGTGAATTTTTTATATTTCTTTACAGTTTCAAGTAGCTGTATTTGATATTTCCTTTGCACAAGTTGAAAATTATTGCATCAGATGAAAAATACATATATTTTAGTCAACTAAAATAGGACTCTAAACAAATATGATGTGACAATTAAAGAGAATTAGCATGTGAAATAACTAGGTAGTGGGGAAACCTCTGTCCTAACGTTGCCCTTTGCTTGCTGCCTTCTACACTGAATAGTAATGGCGCTTGTAGAAAGAGCATTTTTGTCTCGGGCAGTGTGAAACCTAAAACTTGGTTACTAACGTTCACAAACAAATCCTGAAAACAGAATCTGCAAACCTCCGCTTTGGTCAAACTTTTTCAAAGTCTCATTTGTGGTGCTGTTTATCTTAACTTTGGTGTGGATGACGGGTCAAACCGCAGAAAATATTTTTGTTTAATGGGATACCTGGCAGCTATAGTGTTATTTATTGTGTATAATAATAGTGAAACCATGTGTTTTAATCATTTATTTCCTCAGATGTGGAAAACAGGAGCTGGAAGGCGACTTGCACCTGAAACAGGCTAACTCAAGCACATTGGCACAGACGCTGGATAGCAAAGCTTAGCTGGGGTTTGGTTGCCTGTCAAAGAGAAAACTCACTGTGTTCTACAGATGCTTGGAAAAGCCCTAATCTATCACTGCTCTTATCGATTGTTACAAAGTTTTCACAGTTAAACAAGATTGATAGGAAAAAATAGACTTCTTCTCCTTGATGTTGTTTAATTGTACACATTGTTATTTTTTTTATTTGCTCTATAGAGAAAGTAGCTGCATCCTAGCCAATCATTTTGGAGGTGTATTTGATTTGAAATAGGAGTAACTGTGAACTTCCTTTGGTTTTAAATGTCTGTGTTTTATCCCCACTGAAGTAGTTTAAGTTTCAGGCCTTGTTTTCATTTTTGTCTAGGATGCAGTTGCTGTTGATTTTCCTATAGTGCTTTATGGCCCTTTGTGTTAATGTGTTGTAATTTAATGCCACATTCTCCATCCTCATGAAGCTACAATAAAGTTTTGTGCTAAAAGCATATGTAACCCACACACTGTGTTTGGTTACTAATAGATTAATAGTGTAAGAGCTGCGGTTTTTGACCCTCGGCAGTGCCTGCAGGGGGCGGGCTCAACTCTCCGGTTGTGTGCACGCTCGTTGATTAAGGGCGAGACAATTAAAGAAAAAGGAGAGCTGATCCATGTGAGCAGTGAGAAATGGAGAACGGTTATAATTATAAAAAAATTAATAATAAACCTGAAACCCAAGAAGATAAAGTGTGTGAGAAGTGCTGTTTGGTGTGATAACGCCGATTGAACCACGGACATTGAGACATTGGATAGCTGTTTATTTATTGTGGAAACTCCGACTGCCTTTTATTTCCCGATGAGAACCTTCTGACACCTTCGATTCAGTGGATGAAGTTAAACGACGTGATAGTGAGCCAAAACCATGACAAGACTTCAAAGATTCCTGTTAGTAGACCGGCCAGCTGCTACAGGAATCTACTGTGAACTCATCTTGGAACTTTGGAACTCTCAGGATTTCCAGCTAAGGAGACACACACACACACACTCAACCCAATCCGAGTAGTGTACATTAACAGCGTGAGCTGTAGAATCATACCCAGAAAAGGAGAGATCTGAATTCAAGTCAATTCAAATTCATTTCAAAGATACTTTATTAATCCCAGAGGGAAATTAAGAGTTTCAGTACACACAATTCAGAGATCAGACATACATGGGCAAGACACATGACAAGAATTGGTGACTGTGGTCATTCGCAACCCTGAGTCGCGCTACCTTACCCCCAAATTCCACTACCTCCACTCCGGTCCGCCCCCGCCTTCCGCAGCCGCTCGCTTCCGAACTCAATTTTTACTGCCACCAGCTCTACAACGGCTCCGGTGCGGAGACCTGAGGTGGGCAAACAAGCATGCGCGGGATTTTCGAGATCTTGCGATACAGTCCGAGCAATAAACGCGGAAGATAGATCCAAACACCCGTTGTGTGGGAGAAGCATCGACATGAACTGTTTAATCTGCCCATCATTTGTGTTGAGAGATCAGCAGTGTTTGGATCAACAAAGGGTAACTACTTTGATAGTAGAAACTGTATTTATGGCTTACTTTTGTGCATTTAAACTTCAGCCGCCATTGATAGTTGTTAAAAGTTGTTAAACCTGTGCATATGAAACAAAAAACGCTTTTTGTTTATCGATTTATTGTGAAAAACGGAAGTTGTGCTTGCTCCTTTTCCTGTTGGGCGGTGGTGATTTCTGTCCATTTACTGCGGAGGTGCTCCGGCGTCCGGCGAAAATAGGATCGATTCTATTTTTGCCGGAACAGAGGGCGGCGCACGGCGCCGCACTGCCGGAGCACGGCCGCAGTAGTGGAATTGCTCTGATTGACTACAACGGGACCGATTTTGCTCCGGCGTTCGTGTCGGAGCGGAGCGGAGGTAGTGGAATTTGGGGGTTAATAGAGATCAGAGGGTTCATGAGGTTTGGTTCAGGTGGAGGGAAAAAAAGGCACTTCAGAGTTACCCTCCACTGGGAGGGCAGCTTTGCTCTGCAAAAAAAAAAAAAAAACTCAGATATGCAACAGAATTCAGACATCACACAACATAGTGTCCACTAGGTGGGGTGGTGGGTTTGGGACTGTCCACACTTCAGTTCCTGCAGCCACTACAAGCAGCACATGTCACCTCAGTCTGAACAGAGGAGGAGTATTGAGGGTTGGAGGGTTGCAGTGACCCTGGAATGATTCGGTGGCCTTCCCACAGTCCCGCCCAGGCTGGGATAGGAGACAGAGTAGAGTTGCCATAGCGATGGCACATTCCACATATCTTCTGAGGGGGGCGTTTTCGTTGGAGCCTTGCAGGCTCAAGGGCGCCAGATTCCGATTAGAAATTGTTTTGGGGCCAGACAGAGATAATTTCCTCTCTATCTTAAAGTTCCTTGGTCCTCAACCTCTCAAAATCCCAATAATGGGCATTAATCTATCCCAACCCGTGCTGATTTGTCCACTCTATCCTCGATGGCATCCATCTTTTGTGCCAATGAATGAATCTCGGCCAGAGTTCCAAGCGTACGATTCATCAACAAGAACTGAATAAGTAAACAAAGATTGAAAGGCAAATCCAATTCCTTTGTTATTCAAAAAATTTTTTTGAAAGAGCTCTTTTATTTGGGGGTTTGTTATGTTTGTCACTGAAAAGGGAATTTCAAATGTAGATGTGTTAGGCATTACTGAAATAAACCTGTCAGTTTATAACTAAAGATCTTCTTTATTACGCTTCAGAACCTAGAATTCCACCACAACATTTGGTACTAGACAAAAACCTGTTCTCTGTTGTCTTTTGATTTGCCTTTGCTGATTGGAAGTCCACTATTTTGGTAAAGAGACATTTTAGATTAGTATTAACATGAATCCATCTAGACCAGCGGTCTGCAACTTTTATAGTCCAAGAGCCATTTTTCCCACTGGTCCACTTACATAGAACTTGTTTAGAGCCGTAACTGGTGAAGGACCTTTTATTTTGGAGAAGTGTCTACAGAAGACAATTAGGACAATTTAGAAATTCTCATTTTCTGAAAATTTCATGAAAAAATTCTGAAAATAAGTCTGAATTCTGAGATTCAGAAATCTAAAACTATAAGATTTTTCGGTTCACTGATGTTTTCAACACATTTGCACGGGCTATAGTATAAATGAAAGCCTTGTGAGTCAGAGCAATGGATTGTGGGTAATGCCCTTTGCCCAAGTCCACATCAATGCAGACTTGGATGAAGTGCGGTGCAAGGGTGTAAAGGGGACGTGATCAACTTCCGCACTTGAGAATTGGGACACATTACGCACTCGCACCCCTAGCAGGAATCGTGCAATTGAAGGGCACAAGTGTGGAAGTGCAAATATTGGGATTGGACTGGGGTCTGGATTCTGATTTCCTGATTTTCAAACATCCCACCTTTGATTGGCTTTGAACAACTTGACTTTACCGCTGAGGTCCAATCCCAGTACTCGCATTTCTACCCATGCGCTCTACAATTGCGCATTTCAGTCCAGGGGTGTGAGTACATAGGGTGTCTCGATCCTCAAGTGCAGAAGTGGACCACGCCCCTTTAGTACCCTTGATTCACACTTCGTGTATTATTCACAAACCATTGCTGCGTGGGAATTTTGAGAAGGCAGAGCAATGGCTCAACTGACTTCTACTAGCCTAGACGTGATCTGCTCTCTCCTGGACACTGAACAGCATCCTTCCCCGTCACAAGCCAAGATGGGCAAGTCCATGAATGCTAATTCGACTTGACATGCAATTGTTAGGCTTTTGTAATCTGACAATTTCCCCCTCTATTGTCTATTGCTGGCTAATGCAGCAAATGGGGGTAGAAGACTATTTTCAAGTTAAGCCTGCATGTGAAAGTTGGAGTGTCTGATCATATTTCAAAAAATAAATGGTTTCTCAGTGAACTTGATCTTTAAAAAGACCATTTTTTGTTGTGCTTTACAAATTAAGAGTTTTTAAATAGACAAATAACAAATAGACAAATAACAAATAGATCTAAAAGTATTTTTTAGGGTCGTTCCAATACTAATGTTTCATGAAGAACTGAAAATCAAATGTTTTTAATTATATCTATATCTGAAAACATGGTTCAGATTTTTTAATCATTGTAGCCAAAGGTATTAAAAGCCATTGTAAAAGGTCCAAAGGTAGCAGAGCCCTTGTCTAGACAAACTACTTGTCCTTGAATGGTGCCGATTTGAAGGTTGACTTTTGTAAATTCAGTGAAATATGGAACCAGACATGGAGAAGAAAAAATGGCTGGGAGTTGAGCGAGTTTCACATTCTTCTTCCAGGACAAAAGAAGGCGTGTTAAACATGGAGAAAACCAATATAAATCTGGCCACGTAGAAAGTGGCAGCTACGCTTGGACAAAGAGATTCTGCTGTCTGATTTGTAGTCATTTTAATTACAAATTTTTACTAACTCAAATTATGTTTCAGACATAGTCAAAACACACAATTATTTATTATCTACATTGAAAGACAACATATATGTGAATCAGGGCATAAGGTAAAGTGGAGTAGAAAATACTCTCTACCCCCGCTCACTGACATTTATGTTTTCTTTGTTCTGAGGACCCATGAGCCGACCAGAAGGGGAGGAGACTTAGGCTCCCGATAGGAACTGGAGATGGAACAAAAAAGTTAGAACTGAATAGCCTCATATTACAGAAAATACTAGTCATGAATTGCTGCTCTGCAGTGTACAGAATAATAATTAAAACAATAGTGGTTAATAATGGAAAACAACTACAGTTACAGATCACGCTGATAATTTGATTTTTGGGCCATTTTCTGCTCATGTATCGTTTTATTTTAATATGTCTTAAATCCTTTAAGTTACCTTTAATTCTGCTTTTAGGGGTTTGCTGAAGCAAGATTATGCAACCTAAACCAACCAATTGTTCACTCTTCTGCCTGTTATCAATGAAGGGGTATGCGCACATGTCAGAACACATGAAATCGTGGGCAGCTACGCTGTTTTTCCATGGTAACGGTCTGAAAAAAATCTGCACGTTATCATTCTAGGTGGAAAATAACACCTGGCTTTGAGTAACAAAAACACAAACCGTTGCAGAGTTAACTCCACAGTTGTTAGAAAACACTTAGTCCTCCCAGGTAATTTTGCTGCTGATGGTTTCGGGAGGCATCCTAACTAGATGCCCGAGCCACCTTAACTGGCTCCTCTTGATGTGGAGAAGCAGGAGGTCTAGTCTGAGCCCCTCCCGGATTACCGAGCTTCTCACCCTATCTCTAAGGGACAGCCCAGCCACCCTGCTGAGAAAACTCATTTTGTACCCATGATCTTGTTCTTTTGGCCACTACCTAAAACTCGTCGGATTGACCGGTAAATTTAGAGTTTCACCTTCCAGCTCGACTCTCTCTTCATCACGAGAGACCGGTGCAACACGATCTCATACTCCATCTTTCCCTCATTGTGAACAAGAGTCAAGACCCCATGATACTTAAAGAGCAAGTC